ACACTCAGCGTAATGGACAGTGACACCAGAGTCTTGACAGTTACCTTTGCTACGACATGGATCTTCCACAGCACAAGTCATCCGGCCTGTCGGGATAGTGTGTGCACTGAAGACTGGCCACCACCACCGCATTCCACACGTCACGAGCGAAATGGTGACCTGTCCAACCAACTACCCACGAGCTGGCTCTTGGTCTTGTATCCGGCCATGCAAACTGGTTGGGTTATGGAGGAGTTACTCAGCAAAGCCCATACAAGCCAAGCAACAGTTGTGATATGCTGTGTCATAATCGCAGGTGGCTTTCATCTGGGCAACATCCTGTAGCTCCGTCGAAGTCAGCTTGGGCTTCCTCGGATCACAGTGAACTAGGCCACGGCCACAACCCCAAGAGCTCTGAAGCCCATCATCATCACCAACCCCTGAGGGAGCTCCTACGCGGTGCGGATGTGTCTACGCAAAAAGCCGAACATGACCTCGCAGGGGGTAAACGAAGTCGACTTGGGCTGCAACTGCCTGCAAGTGGCAAGTCCGCCACGCGAGCAACTCGGTCCTTGTAAATGGTGCCCTCGGTCGCTTGCTCGCCTCTCAGCATGCATGTCGTAGAGTGTCAGAGATGCAGCACAAACCCGCAGCACCAAGAAGATTAATACAGGTGAGCAACTCAAGAACCGATGCAGAGCAACAAGAACTGAAACTACGACTAGGAACTTGCGCAACACGAGAAGCAGAGGATGACGATGTAGCCCCGACCCAATCCTTCTCATCATCGTCATCACTATCACTATGACCGCAAGCATCACCAGCACCAAGAACACCAGCGACAACTAGTTATCGGACAAATCACCTCTTTTGCTGCTCCTTCGCCGGTGGTGCTACCCTTGGCCCTTGGCCCCACCACTGCGTACTGTTCCAACCAAGACGACGACGCTTGCTGCTCCACAACTGTATCCCCTGTTCCTGTTTGCCTCTGTTGCTGCTGCTTCTTGATGCTACACTTCTTGCTGAAATTCACACCAAACTGGGGGTGCGGCAAACAGGTGCCAAACCAAGAAACGATGTCGATTACGATCACAATCCCAAAAGGAAGACCCGCACGTACACGGCCCACATGTTCACAACCTGGCCTGGCCAAAACCAGGTGACAAAGTCGTCCGAGCCCTCAAATCGCTGAATGCGCATAGTGCGACCGTCATCCAGCAGTGCGTGCAAGAAGGAATGCGACGTCCAACCACTGTGCTCCGACCGGCGTTCTTTGCGCCACTCGAGTTGATACACCAGAGCTGGTCTTTGAAGATCACGAAGAGCTTCTTCAGCTCGGCGCTTGGAGCAAAGGCCGCAGCCGAGGCCGTCGCAAGAGAGGCAATTCGCAGCTGGTGCAGGTGTCTCTGTCACGGTCTCTGTATTTTTTCGACCGCCCTCCACGCTAAACTCAATAGTGAAGCTGTCAGACCCTCCCGCATTAGTGGCAACAACGGTGTATATACCATGTTCGGCAGGCGCAGCAGGAGAACCGAAGATGCAGCCACTCTCTTCATCGATCCACAGCCCTTCTGGCAGTTGAGGCTGGACGGACCAGCTGCAAAGCCCGCCTGCCGCCTTCGGCAGCCAGCAGACCCTGGCCAAGCACAGCACAGCATCTTCAGCTTACAGATAACTCTAAGCGCAAGCCTAGGTCCTGGTCCTAGGCCGCTGTAAAAAAGAAACAAGATGCTAGTCGCACTGGCAGTAGCTTTTGCCCAATTTGACAGTGCGCCGTCTCGGTGGAGACACCGGCATACCTGGGCGTAATATGACTAGAAAGCGGATGTCCCGAAAGGATGTTGAAACAATGAAAGCATGAGATGTGAACGGTAGAATAACTTGTTGTTCACTATCCGCTCACGTCGGCACCGTAAAATCACGGACCACCCCAGCACCCAGCGAGAAGGTTTGCAGGAGTGCCGATTCCACCATAAAATGCTGCACGATCCCCCAAATTCACCAAGGACTGCCTTTTCTGACCACACTGCTGCATCGGAAACATGCCGAAACTAACTACCCACGCCGACGCAGTTAGAGCGGGCATCTTGCAACTTCGAAAAGGATCAACCTGGACAAGACCGAGAAGATTGCCAGCTTGTGGCCTTCGCGAAACAAAAATATCGTGCAGAAGCCCCGTGCGAGGCTATGCATAATTTACACATTTATGGCAAAGAAAGACTCACTTAGGGTCATCCATTGCTTCCCCCACCTCCCCCCGCCTTCAAATGGAGCACCTTCAATTTATTTCACAAGCAAAGCTAAAGGGGAACAGTCCGCAGAAAATCAACAACCTTTCCGGAAATCCCTTTTACAATTGCAAACTGGCACTCCTCCATCTGGGACTTTCTCATACTGACATGCGCCACAATATGCCAAGACTCTTCATGATCTTCGGAGGCAAAGTCCTCCCGCTGAAGTTCACATCGGTACCTATCGGACAAGCCGTTTCACACGAGACAAATTTCGAATGGAGAACTTACAGTATGTCGCAAGTGCCGACGGGCAGCTGGCCATGCCAGCTGCATTGGATGCGATAATCGTGTAAGGCTGTGCCCAGGCATCATCCTCGTCAGAAGAGCAGATGCTTGCGACTCTGCACTCGAACTTTCGAGACTGAAGACTTCTGGGCTTGTGAGGCACCGCACCCGCCTCCGGCTCCTGCACTGCGCCCGAAATCTCGCCGGAAGCCCGGTCCAGCTTCCTCGCTTGCAGGCGACTGGCGCTCGGAGACAGCACCGTAAGCTGAACAGAAGGAAGCCTTTCGGATAAGCTCAAAACAACAGTGCTGTTTCTTGACTCGCAACAGGCACGAAGGCAGCGAAGGCGTGGCCATAAAGCGTACAGTGGCCTTGTTGCAGCCTGCCGGCTACAACAATTTGAGTCGTTTGGGCGGCAGCGGATGCTATAGGAATCCTCCACTTTTCGTCTAGCAAAGTATCCTATAGGATTCAGGTCCTACAGCGGTCTTATCTTTTAGCTGACCTCTCATGAACCCAAGCTCTTGGACCACCAGCTTGAGCACGCTTGTGCATGTAGCCGGGCAGGCCTTGCAGAACTGGCTCCAGGTGGATGCTCTCAACTGGCCAGGTCCCGAGACTGTCGTAGCTCAGCTCCGTGGGAGCTGTCATCTCCAACAGCCAGACTTTGAAGCTGCCTGGCATATCAGGACTCGAGTACGTCGTCCCTCGGTCCCTCGGTCCCGCAGCCTACGTCTTGGAGCACCGACTTGGCCGTCTGCAGTCCGGCCCGGAGTTCTCCCAGACGTGGGTCCAGGGCATGCTCCTGTCCAAGAGAAGTGCCCTGCTGACAGGCAGCAGAAGCGAAGCCATAGCCTCGGAGAGCTGCACGCGATCCAGGGCATTTTGGTAGCGCCAGAAGTACCTCCGATTTTCGAAGCGATGCAAACACGAAGCATGCTTCTATGTAGTCTTGACACAGCTAACATCAGGATGCATGTTTTGTGCAAGTCGGCTCCGCCACCGAATCCCACTGTGCCAAAGCGCCTACGACCACGTCAAACTTCTATCCAGACACTCGCAGGAGCCCCCGAAGATATCCTCCAGGAGTGCCCGATCGCCTCGGGCCTGAGTCAGGGCCCGGTCGTCTACGAGTCTACCAGTTTTCCAGCTATTGCCATGGTTTGGGCAAGCTGCAGCTTTGGAGAGAAGATCCCGCGCAGCTCCCAGCTCCTGTCACAAAGGCTGTCTTTTTCCTAAGGGGAACACAGCAGACTGCGACTGCACAGACTCAAAAAGGGACGACTGGGCCTTCAACACCTCAGTTTCGGCAGCCTTCCGCCGAACTCCGACGGTCTCAGCACAGCACAGAGGCACGCAATGCAATATCCACGTGAGCTTGTGCACCCCTTCAGGGGTTCAGAGCGTTCCCGTATGTTTCCGTGTTGACACGCCCAGGGCACCGTTCGACTGTCTTGAACTGCTAGCATGGACTGGAAACAAGCCTCTGGTCCACGGAGTTTCAGCATTGGATCACCGCAAGAGGTCCTGTAGACTGCAGCCTTCCCAATCCTTCAATGCAGCCATGTGGCGGCATCCGCATGCCGCTGCAGACTGCGCTCCAGTCTCACCAGGAGGTCTTCCGCTTCCGCTCTGGTGTAAGACATGGCCGCTCTTCAGGCACAAACAGCTCAGGTACGGATCGGATTCGCTTCAAGTCTGTGTTCGCTTGACATCGCTGCGGGTGGGCGATGTCCACTGCTTGAAGGCTACCTGTGCTATTCGAGCAAGTTTAGGCAACCAATCTTGTAGCTGCTTAGGACACGTGCTAAGAAGCATCTGCCTGAGCAGCCAAACGAGCGATGTTCTGAAAAGTATCACTTGCAGGCACTAGTGCGGCTGTACACAAGCAGCTCGTGATCTTTGCATTCAGGCAACGGCTTTGCAGTGCCTTGCTGCAGTCCTATGCGAATGCGGTGAAACGAATTCACACGAATCATGCATAACACACATTTGTAAGGCGGCGTGACGTCGTGGTTCCAGCACGACTGGGCTCATCGCAGGCAGGCGCACTGTCGCCTGTGGGCTCTGCAAGTCGAGCTCATGATAAAGATTGACGTCGGCACAGAGAAAGGAAGGTGCAGCAAACTTACGTACAAGTAGCGCAAAGAGCCCTGACTGGCTCCTGGCTCCACAACTCGTTTCTCAGAGCACGGATCGCTTTCTGGCACGCCTTGATCGCAGCAAGAAGGCAAAGACCGACCATGTCTCCGTTTCCAGCAACTCTCCTTCTTTCGCTGTTGGAGCGCGCAGCTTCAGGATGCCTGCGAGGCATCGTAAGCGTTGCATCCTTCGAAGGCCTGGCATCACATGCTTCCAAGAGCTGGTCCGAAGTCACGAGCAGTCTTTCACCAGAGACGCCGGAGTAGGAGGTCGCTCGCGCTGGCGGATGACCCGAACAAGGCCGGCAGCCCGGAGCAGCTTCCAATTGTCTCGAACGCGTAGCAGCGTAGCACGGCACACTTACCAGAGAGCGAATGTTCTGCTAATCAGCAGACAGAATAGGGTGCGGAATCGTGGACTTGACAGAGTTGCTGAGCCAACAGCAGTCTGCACGACTCCGGGCCGTGGAGTGGTAGCCGTCGGGGTACGGGAGCTTTGAGTAGTTGCAGGAGTGCCCTCGACCACCCCTGTCAGGGACGTTAGCCATTAACAAGCTGCCAACTACCATCGAAATCCTATGCCCTGTCCACCCTGTCGTCTGGCCCGAAGGATATTCCCGGCCCGAAGTCTGTTGAGATTCTGCTCTACTCACTCTATCCCTGCAGCCTTGCCCTTGCGACGACGAGAGCAGCTTTGTTTCCGTTGTCGTGCTTGGTGGCAACGTGGGGTAGACATCACCGCTGCCTGGGCCAAGACATCACGGCACTAGAGATAAGGTTTGTGGCTAGTAAGTCTAGGCTTTGGGGTTTAGGGTTAAAGCAGACACTGCAATAGCTTGCAAGTTTTTTGCCGCGCCACCGGTGCTGGGCACACGAGCAAAGCAGCTAAGAGCGCAAAGACCTTCAGTAAGTCCCGGATCCGGGAGGCTCTGGCAAGAACTGGCATTCTGCGCGAAAAACAAGGACACCAGATACTCCTCGCAATTCGTTATGTAGGACAACCCACTGGTCTGAGTCAGCAGCGACACCTGGGGCAGGCTCGGAGCGGTTCGGTTTTAAAGGAGGCAATCAGCACGGGCAATTTAACCTGCAATAGGGAAGGTAGAATTTCATGTGTGGGCCCTTTGAACCAAACCGTTGCACGACCTTCCTTCTCTAAAATGCCAGAAAACCTTGCTTTGCAACTAGCAGGGGGCGTAAAGATCCTGGTTGGTGCATCGCGCAGCACAGGCTTGTCCAGAGTGGCAGCAAGAGTCTGCCCGACGACCACGCGTGCTGGCAGATGTAGAGTTGTGCAGCACGCAGTCGAACTTCGAGAAGTCGCTCTGATCTGCCACATAAAATGTGAAGGCAAGACATTCCGGGCTGCTGGCGCACAGAGAGGCACAAGTCTCTGCGCTGAGCACGGCTCGCCACTTGAAGAAATACCCGCTCTCGTCCTGATAAGCGACCTGTCTTTCGATTGTACACCGAGCTGTGGCAGGCACTGATGCGGTCATACGAGCAAGTTCAGCTGCGGCAACAGTGGCATGCCCGCGGTTTCCACTTCTGGATGTCCCTTCAACCGAAGCGTTCGAGCAGGAGCGACAGCTTTCTGGACAAAGCGCCTGCACAATGCGAATGTCAGGATCGGTCGTTTCCTCTCGCTTCCCGTCATTCCATGATGACCAACAATTGCCAGGCTGGCGGTCAATCAGTGCCGAGCAGCTGGAGACCAGCGAAGCTTCTGCATCAGGAAAGACCAGGGACAGCTGAGGATCTAGATCTCGACAATCAGATGCGCAAGCACGCCCAGAGCTGCATCTGCCAGGAAAAGGGCTTCGATCACCTTGCACTTCCTGGACCGTGTGCAGCAGCATGCAAAAGTCAACCGAAAGCCCAACCTCATGCGAAGTCTGGTCGGATTTGCAAAAGATGAAGGCCTCACACCCTTGAAGTGCCGCACCTGCGCAAAGTGCTGCACAGGCTTCAGTTGAGTTCACCTTGCCGGCCATCTGCTGGAATAACGCCCCAGAGAATGGCACATGCTCATATATGTTGCAATCGCTCGTAGAAGAGTCAAACTGCAGCGATGCCTCGCAACTGCTGAAGCCTCCTCGAACTGCAAGAATGCCAAGACTCCAAAGTTGCAAAGCCGGAACGAAACCATGGCTTGCCAGAGTCCTCATGCCTACTTGATAAGCCTCGCTGGCTTGTTCTTTGAATCGCACAACCTCTCCACATGTGGGTAGCTTGTGGGCAAAGCCAAGGGCTTCAGTTGCAGGCGAATTGCGAACCCCGGGTGCGCAGAGTGCAGAGCTCTCGCGCCACCCATTGCTACAACGCAGCATAAGACCATGACACTACTGCGCTACTTGAAGCAATTCTTTCGAATCCATGGGAGCGCATCCGCTCCTTTCGGGCCCAGTTGACTGTGCGAGCCCCGGAAACCTTTGGCAAGCGAGGCTCTCACCGCCACTCCTGTCTTGCATGTCAGATCTGATGATCTGTGTCGTCTGACTGCTTGCACTTTCCATGTTGCACGGCTCCGCAACTCCAGACGGACACCTTGATAGGTGAAGACTCTGTGCAAGCAGCGCAGGTCTACCTGGTGTTCTGGTGCCCTGCGGACCTGTCACCGAATTGTTGAACTTGGCTTACAGGCAGAGCTGAAAGCCGATGAAGAAACGCTTTGGATTCACATTTAAAAAGCCTCATTTAGCGAGGTGACTGCCCAGGAGTACAACCCCTTTCACGGTGGCCACGCAGACTTGGATCGATATGATGTAGGGATGTTAGTGCTAGTATCCCCGGAAGCAGACCCAAAATATACACGCACCAGTATGCAAAAGGAGTCCGCCCTATTTGCACTTAAGGCCCGAAGTGAAAATTTGCTGAAGCCCCGCAGTCTGACATGCGGCCACATCCCTCAGTCACGACTTGCCTCGCCCGTGTGAACCTGAGTTTGAGCACAGAGGAATGATGTGTACCTACCCTGGCATTTGCAGTCTGCTGCCGTCTGGTCTGAGCACAGCGGCACAGCATTCACGACTTTGCTCCGCTTTGCCTGAGAGGTGAGCAACATGGCAAGCCACGATTTCTGCCATCATAAGCAGATGTATCTTCAACGATGTCGTGAAGACTGCCATGTCATGACTTGCACCTGCCATCACCTGCCATGGCAGCCTTTAGGGTCGGTACTTTGCCCAGTTGTAGCAAAGCACGCCGCATAGACAAATGAACGTGCCTGAAAAAGCAGAGCATGGAAACTGCTGATGGTGGCTGCAGCGTCTCTGAGCACGGGGCCAAGCTTGGTCAGCGGAGTCACTTGGTTTCCGAAGACCTCCGCCACCCAGCACTGTCGGCACCATGTCAGGCAGAGTTCTAGGTGTCTGGATTCCCAGAGTCCGAAAACGAACAAGCAGGCCTGCACACTGATGCAGATGATCAAGGCACGCTTCAACGTGTTCACCACCTGGGCAATATGAGATCTGCTTGCCGGCTTTGGCCTGAGGGGGCTCGAGGTCCAGGCTGACACGGTCACTGGCGACAAGTAAGACCTTGGGACGACCGCAGCGCAACCATCGTCACATGCCTAAGACCGGCGTCGCCTGTCTGAAAAGCGAGGTCGTCAAAGGCTGACGAGTGGCACTGAAAATCATCTGTATATAACATAGATGTGTATGTATGTATGTACGTATGTATGTATGTACGCATGTATGTGTGTATGTACCTGTGTTTGTATGCATGTATGTACGTATGTATACATGTATGTATGTCTGCATGTATGTATGTATATGCTTAGTATACATATACATATGTATGTGTATATATATATACACACAGACAGTACATCAATCTAAATCTACTGACCGGGCGCTGCTGACCCCTCGCTGCTTTCCAAAAGAGTTTCCGCGTGTAGAACACCCGTAGGTGATCGATGCTGGGCGGCCAACATCACCACGTAAGCGATGACGGACTGCACGTGGTACCTGAAGCTAATACAGAAAGGACCACTGCCGACGACGATGATTACTGTATTGACTGTGGATGCTATGCTTAGTGGAGTCATGCTGCCATGAGTCCTGCCATTAGTGCCACAATGATTGATATGTATCTGGACAGATCGTTTCTGTATGTTGCTGGTGCGCCCATCATGGCCGTGCCATGACTATCGTTGATGGAGTCTTCTCCAAGTTACAGAAGCATAGACTGCGCCTGCAACAAGCCCGGAATTGAAGAATGGTTCAACAACAGCAACAACCACCTCGACAACATGATGTAGCGATGATTGGCAATGATTGTGGTGGTCCTCACTGGTCAGAGGCCCAGGCAGTACTCCATCTATCCACAGGAGGAGCAGCAAATTTCGGTCCCTGCCAAGTCGACCGGCAAGCCACTAGATTCACAGATGAATACGGGAGAAGAACGCAAGCAGAGACCAAAAGCGCAAGCAAAAACAACAAACAGCCAGCAAGAGTCATACGTCCAACAGAACTGACACTTATGGCGGTACTCAGTTACTCTGAGTCTATGAGTACCGCCATAAGTGTCAGTTCTGTTGGACGTGTCATAGTTTCTGAACGGGTTTGGGACAAGCGCAATATAGGACAGAGGTCCGGATCTGCAGAAACGAACTTGCGTGAAAATGCGAAGACATTGCTGAGCTGCAACTCCGAAATTCGAGAGGACACTACAGGATACTTCTTCACGTATCCGCAGTCGGGATCGCCCTATGAAAATCTGTTCTGGAGCATATCCAATTGACGCCGGAGCTACGGAAGGGAGTCCGTCCAACTCCTCAGCACGGATGATTGATGTACTCCGTATGCTCTCGGAATGTGTTACCGGATTTTGACTCTGCGATACCGCGACTAGCTTCGCAGCGATCCAAGGTCCACTGAGAGAAGCCATGCACTTTAAGATAGCCTGCACAAGAAGCAGAGGATAGCCGAGCCCCCGACTCTTCAATGATTTCCTCTCTTGATACTGTGAGAGCAGCCTGATTCAGGTGCTCTGGCACTCTCGCGCTTAAACAGGCTTCGTATATGAGCTTCCGAAGGCCGGACCAGCGTCTTGTTCACATTCAGACCGATGTGCGAAACGTCGTGTTCCACGTGGTGCGAATGAGATGCCTTCAGCATTCATTGCAAAGAGACGAAACAACTTCTGTAGAAACATGCTGTGCTGTCAGAATCACGGTGGTAATGCCGAATGCAAAAGAGAACATGCTGTCTGAGCTCGTGTCCGCAGGCTCGTGGGTAATCAGAAAGATCGGTGCCTAAACTGCTACAGCAAGTCGAGCGTATTCGGTGTTGAAGCAGGTAAATGGCACTTGCAACGGACTCGGCCTGCATCACCAAAGCCGTCAGCGACGTGTAGAACTGTAACCTGGCAGCCGTTGACGCGAACCCTCTCTTTCTGTGGAACACCTGCTTGTTGAAAACTTCCAGCCCCTTCGGCAATTCTCCGTTTCGGTCTCATAGCGGCCGAGACGTCTATAACCGGCCGAGATTGCTGGGAAGCCGTGTACTCGTTGGCCAGCAGCCTGGACAGGGAGAGACAGTGCAAAGCGCTGCCGTCACATTGCAACAGTATGCCCAGCTCAAGCATCTGCTTGACCACGAACTGAAGCCCCTCACTCGATCTCGAACCCCTGAAGTCCACAGAAGAGCGAGGCCTCTTGCTGAAGACATTCTGCACACATTCAATGATATTAGTCAGCACGGCGGCTCCAAACCCGACCTTTGCAGCAACCAGCACACGCTGCTGCATTGCCCCACTGCATGTCTTACCGTAGCTGCACGCACAAGGCCTGAAAGATCTTGAAAGACTACAGCGACAGCACTGCTGAAGGACTTACTAGCTTAAGAAACTGAGCCCTTCGCCCAGCTGCATGATAATAGTTCCATGCAAAAAACGGGTTGACGGTACTCAGTACTCGATATGGGCTTACGGTGAAAGAGCAACTCGAAGCCCTGCAGGTGCCAGAACCATTCGGGGACCACCCGGCTGAGCACCCAATGCAGGCAAGAGACTGTGGCGGAAGCACGAGTCCCACTCCAAACTGCGCATGGCGCGTCGGAAGTGACACACCGGACTTGGCAGGAGCGCGATTTGGGTCGGCGGACATACACTTCACTGCGGTGGTATTCTGGCGACGTGTCGCGGTTTCAAAGCAGACATGGGCACCGGACTTTGGCGGAACCACGATTTCCACTCAAAGACATCCCAAAACTCTGCCGGTGGGAGCGGGATGTATCAAGTTGGACAACGCCAACCCCGCATTTCTGGAGGAGGGACACAGCGGGCTGTGGAAAGACTGCGGCTTCAGCACAAGATGTGCACCGTGCCACAGCAAGTGAGCTGCACGGATAAAAAGCACTCCGCCCTTACTCTGAACCTGACACCGCATGGTGTTATCACATTTTTTGGCACAACTAGCAAATTAAGAAACAGAAGGGCTGGACCACTAAAATTTGTCAGATGAGTCTCTCAGGGTTTCGGGAAGCTTTCTGCGGACACGGGGAACAAAGGCTTCTTAAGGGCGCAGGACAAGGGCTGCATAAAGGCTTTGGTCTTGATAAGAGCTCAATGCAGTGTTTAGTGTTTACGTGCTCTACAGGACACTACTAGGCGCTCATTACTTCAGGCTGAGTACAGGCAGATTTAAAGCCTGATGTGGGTTCAATAAGCGACAATAACAAATCCAAACTAAGAACTGACGCGCTCGTTGTCTGAAGCTCCGTCTATCCCTGGCCTGGGTGGAGCGTGGAAGTTGAGCCCCTTATGAGTACGTCGACTCGGCTCCCGAGATCCCCGCCCTTGCCAGTAGGCCTCTGGGCCTCAGAATCCCTGTGTATTGAGTTTGGCATAACCAAAATATCGCCAAAGTAAGAAAGCGAGGGTCTCGATTCCTAAACTCAAGAAATCGACGGATCTAGTTCTTACCGCCGGGGCTCGAGTGGATAAATGCGGAGTCCTTCGCAACCAACAGCGAATCAATAGTTTTAACAAAAGCATGTGCTTCATAACTTCGAAATGTTTCTGAGACGGCCCTGTGGCTGCTCCAGTTCCTGAATGAAAGTGGCTCTTCGGCTTCGTCCCAAGCCTGAACAGCTCGGGTCCCAGCTATGTTGTAAGAAAGCTCGGTGGAGGAGACCAACACCTTCGGTCACGAACATCTGAAGTTGCGTGGCTCTGCCATCAGTCTGCTTCAGGCTTCCTTGGAGGGTCTTCGAACATCCCTCATGAATCAAGACGGGCAGCACTTTGTGAAAGCAAGAGCTCCAGCGCGTCCGACCAGCTGAGCCCCAAGCTAGTCCTCCTGCAACCGGCACAAGAGATGCCAAAACCTGAAGGAGTCTGACGCCAAGCTCTTCCCGTCATGAAGGCCGCTTATGGTTGTTTTTAACTCGAAACGAAAAACTGCTGCAAGTAACTACATAAGTCCTTGGAGGTCTAGGGTTTAGGGTTCCCAAGCAGTCTGCGCAGAGCTCGATGAAGGGCCATTCTAATGCCAGGAGTATGTGGAGAACTTGCTAGCGAAGTGTCCCACTGCGTGGCATGATCGAGCAATGGTTGTAGATGTGTTTGTTGCTGTTTTGGGGAATCCTTGCTGTTGATCAGACCTGGAAAGGTATGCGTGTTTCGTGTTTTCGCACACGGCCTTTGTGCCTTTTGTTCCTGCGTCAGGCACAAAGCCCACTTTTGCACACGGTCTGCTACAGCACTGCTGCCATTCATCTCTTTACTCCATTCCTCTCCTTGCCTTTTTGGGCCACTGCAGACCCCACACACCCACAAAGAAGCTTTGCATGTTTGTGAGCTTGAGACATCATGATTGCGGCCATTTGCCGTTCTCATGCTGTCAAACTTGTTCTCTGCACCACTGCACTTCGCGTCCGTCTCTGCCACTCATTTCGTTCACATACGACCTGCTGTGCGTATTTCTCGTTTTGTCGCCATCCCATCTCCGCATCTCCACTGCTGGAAGAAGACGAAGCAGAATCACGATTATCGTCGCTGGAGTACAAACTCTGTGCCGGCAACAGTAGCAGTAGTAGCGACAGTCAAGGAAGAAGCAGCTGTAAGCAGCAGAAGCAGTAGCAGCCGTAGTAGATTCGGAAGTAGAACTACAAGTGTGAGCAGAAGCCGAAGTAGTACCAGGGTTCGTAGTGATGGTAGTAGTAGTAATCGTAGTAGTCGTCGTGGTGGTGGTGGTGGTGGTGGTGGTGGTGGTGGTGGTGGTGGTGGTGGTGGTGGTGGTGGTGGTGGTGGTGGTGGTGGTGGTGGTGGTGGTGGTGGTGGTGGTGGTGGTGGTGGTGGTGGTGGTGGTGGTGGTGGTGGTGGTGGTGGTGGTGGTGGTGGTGGTGGTGGTGGTGGTGGTGGTGGTGGTGGTGGTGGTGGTGGTTGTGGTGGTGGTGGTGGTGGTGGTGGTGGTGGTGGTGGTGGTGGGTGGTGGTGGTGGTGGGTGGTGGTGGTGGTGGGTGGTGGTGGTGGTGGTGGTGGTGGTGGTGGTGGTGGTGGTGGTGGTGGTGGTGGTGGTGGTGGTGGTGGTGGTGGTGGTGGTGGTGGTGGTGGTGGTGGTGGTGGTGGTGGTGGTGGTGGTGGTGGTGGTGGTGGTGGTGGTGGTCGAAGTAGCAGCAGCAATTAGTCGAAGTAGCAGCAGCAATAGCAGTAGCAGTAGCAGTAGCAGTAGCAGTAGTAGTAGTAGTAGTAGCAGTAGACGAAGCGGCAGTAGTAGGAGTAGGAGTAGGAGTAGGAGTAGGAGTAGGAGTAGGAGCAGGAGCAGGAGCAGGAGCAGGAGTAGGAGGAGGAGGAGGAGTAGGAGTAGGAGTAGGAGTAGGAGTAGGAGTAGGAGTAGGAGTAGGAGTAGGAGTAGGAGTAGGAGTAGGAGGAGTAGTAGTAGTGGTAGCAGTAGCAGAAGTAGAGAAGTAGAGAAGTAGAGAAGTAGAGAAGTAGAGAAGTAGAGAAGTAGAGAAGTAGAGAAGTAGAGAAGTAGAGAAGTAGAGAAGTAGAGAAGTAGAAGAGTTCAGTCTAAAAAATAGAAGTAGTAGAAGTAGTAGATGTAGCAGTACCACTAGCACCACTGGTACGAGTGCCAACACAATTCCTAGTAGTATTACTTGTAACGGCGGTGTCGGTGCTAGTACATCTGGTAGTACTGGTACCGGCAGTACACAACTGCTGAAGACAGCATGGTTCACATTCGGTACACACCACAGAGCCGCAAAGCGTCCCCGGGATCCCGGCCGGCACACCTGTTCTTTCACCTGCACTCAGCGATGGGATCCAACATCTTTACATCCCACAGCTCTGTGCTGGATCCCCAAGCCCGGCCTAGCATGAGGTAGGCAACAATCACTGTAAAGAAGGGGGCGGACGCCTGTCTCTCCGTCAACTAATAGAAGCAACATGAACTTCAGCAGTTTGACAACCAGGAGTAACCGCCTGGCATGAGGCTAGCACTGAAAGAGCATGGAATCGGACACTCACGATGGCACACCTTGATGGTCTCGGTAAAGGACGCTGCGACGTATTTGAGACCTTGCCCATGCTTCCACAGAAAAAAACACAAGGGGGCAGACGCTCCGCAATTCCGAGCCACTCCAAGCTCGGCACTCACCAGGCCAAGCACTACCGTGGAAAACTCAGTCAGACGGAGAGTGCCCCAAGAGGAAACAGAAGCAGGTGCACGGACGGCAAAACGGCTGAGCGTAGGGAGCGGACTCGCATCAAACCCACGAAGCTCATCTGGATTAGGCTCCTGCGCCACCGCCTGCCCTCAGGGAAGAAGGGAAGAAACGCTTTCGTCAAAACGTCTATGATTTCAATTTCTAGCATACTCTGCGGCATGCTGGCGGATGTGCTCCGTGCCGATTTCGAGTCATGTTGTGGGCCTTGGTTATGGTTGGGGCAAATGGCGTTCGTCCTGGACTGTATTATGGGATGTTTGAAATTTCGGAAGGGTTGTTTCAGTGGATTGAGAACGACGGCACGAAACGAACCTTCAAACTCAAACGCGACAGCCCACAAGCCAGCACAGCGAGCCATCACAGCGAGGCGGCACAGCGATGCGAAGGCCGAACCTTGTTACCAAGGCCATCGAGATGGTCCGAGGTGTCCGGCGACTCCGGGTCAGTGACTGCCTCTGCATCACAAAGATCAACCGTGTGCCGAAGCCACTCCCAGTTGCCGGGCCTTCCGTGCCCCATTCTTCTGAGACACGAGGCTTCTAGCCTGCACCCAGGATAGCACAGACATCTGGAAACCAACCCTCATCTTGCACCCGCACACGACCCCTGCCTCCCGTGCCAGCCGCAACACGTCTCCAAGCTTCAAAGTTTTCAGAGCGCCATAGATGGCAGTCGACACCTTACGCTTCTTCTAGATGTGCCGGCGCGTGACTACGACCCAACTCTGGCAGCCCGCATCTGCATGACGCTGTGAAGCAGCACCTGAGGCTTCCACCATTTGTACTGCAGCTAGGGTGTTCGGCTGCACGTGTAGGTAGCCCATGAGGTACTGTGCAGGTGCGACAGCAGAAGCTCCAACTCGTTCAGAGCAAAAAACTCTCCACGATTCTGATTAGGAACTCTGGTGAGTTTTGGTCTGATAAGCAGCTTACCGTGCAGAATTGCGAGGGCAAAACCCGTGACAGGGATCTCGGCTGTCCTTGTTCAGCAGCAAGGTGCCGAACGAAGTGAGGTACCACCTTCATGGACGCAAAGGCTGAGAGTAGCAGCCGTTGCTGCAACGGAGAGCGACGGAAAACAAGATATGATGCTGTAACCAGAAAACTGCCCCCTTCCACCCCTGTAGCAGAAACAGGACCAGACTTGCAAGGCCTACTAAGCAGTACTGACCTGAAAGTTATCCAGAGAACAGCAGAGTTTGGCAACCACGGAATGGATTGAAGACGTAAAAGGCTTTTGGTAAGCGGCTCCAGTGATATTTGCAGCTATCGGCCAATTTTGTTGGACGGCTGTGTTTTGGCAAACTATTGGGCAAATCCGATTTCAACTGTTGCGGTTCTAGGGGAGCACGCAGGGCCTAGTTTGCGGCAAGCCAATTCCCATGTCCAGTCCCGGTTTTGCGGCAAAGTGTCAAAACTTTTTCAACTTGCGGAATCCTGGTTTGCATGAAGCTGTTCTAGGGGCTTGGGTCGGTTTGGCTTGTCCGGTTCTGCTTTGCAGCAGGGTAGTGGCGAATTTCAGTGTGCGCTTGGTACCAACAGCTATATACGTGAGCTGTGTGGTGTACACCACACCAAAACCGACTACGCGTTTGGAAACTGTGGGTTGCGAACTTGGTGCGATCGAATTGCGATGCTTCGATGCGATGGGGCCTCGACCCGCCTACAGGGCTGACGTCCACGACGACGACGACCACCACCACCACCACAACAACAACAACCACAACGACAACAACAGAAGGCTCTGCGACACTGCCAACAGGCCACCCCCCCCTCCGGCCCCAACCTTCCTCAACCCTCCCTGGCTTGCACTAGCCGGATAACCACCCCGCCAGCCTCTTCACTGTCTTTCCCCATCCTCCCTCACTATCCCTCCCGAACATGCAAGGTTGGACCATTATTGTCAGGTCTGGTTCCATGGCATAATGTGTTACGAGTCAAGTCCAGGATCACGGATATGATTGAGATTGGTTCCTGTTGCGTGTAATACTTGAGCCAAATTCAGGTTAGGGTGTTGACATCAATGACTTTTGGCATTGTTGTTGCTACGGCAGTTAACGTTGCGGGGCTGGCAAAAGGTCATGTTGGGGTTGCTAAGCACATTAGGGTTAACACTGCTCCTATTGAGGCAATTATGAGGCTTGCACATACCAAGACCAGAGTTGGGGTTGCTTTTCGACTCATTGTTAGACTGCATTCGGCTTACAATGGGATCAAACCATCGGTGATGTTAGTGTTGCTACTGAGGCTCATACGGCAGTATGTAATGACGGCCATCGAAGAGGCTCCAGTATCATGACGAATGAGCCTCCAATCAAGTTACATTGGATGCCAATAGTGGAATCAATATCAGTCAGACTGCAAATCATGATATTACAGATAATGACAATAATGATAGTAAGGTTATTGCTCGTTTTGGCATGCATGTCCGTAGTTCGGGTCAGTCTTCAGTGCAATGAGACCCAGTACCGGATTTTCGTCGTAAGACTTCTCTTTACGTTTGGCAACAATGAAAATAATGGGATTCTCAAGTCATGCCTCAGGCTCAAACATTTTAACATACGTGTTGCTGTTAGAACAAGCGTTGGGCTTGGAGTGCGGATAACTTGACATGCTTTCAAAATCAACGGCAAGTTTGGAATCCGCACTAGTTCTGTCGATATCCAGATGTTCCTAGGATTAAGTCATAGGGTTTACATTCATGGAAAGCCTTAGGGCTATGGTCAGGGTGAACATTAGGATCACCATTGCGATGGGTACAGTCGAAATGTTGTCATGAGGTGCTAGTACTACATACATACACACGTTGAAGTCGTGCATGGAAAACTGCACTGACACCCAAACTTGGTGCTGTTGCATGCTTGACAGCATTATGCACATCCTGACGGTATGATCTTGTGGAACTCTCACATAATGCATCCTGCAGGTCGCCTGCAGCTATCGATGGCGGAGAGTAGGCCAAGGAAGCCGGCAGAGAACCGACATATTCAATTTCCAACATATCATCAGAGGTCCGAAGACTTGCCGGCCAAACGGTCTATTTCTTCACACTATCTATCTACCGATCTAACTATGTACCCTATGTACCATGTGTCGCTTATCTCTCCATCCGTCCATCCATCCACGCATCCATCCATGCATCCATACTCCATCTATCGGTTAGATTTGAGGAGTTTTCTTTCATAAGTGGTTGGGATTCTCTGGGTATGTCTGCCGTTGCTTCCTAATATCAACAAGCTGAGATGATGATGATGTTGATGATGGTCATGAGCAGCAAACCCATTCCCCAAAGGAATATCATGCGCGGCAGAACCTAGCACCCCAAAGGACGCATAGGCCCCAGAAACCCCCAAGCCTAACCGGACGTGTTGGACCTGAACCCAAAACCCCATACCTCCAAAGGATCCCAAACCATGCTGAAAAGCTGGCCGGGAAACCCCAAAGCTTGAGTCGGACCCCCACAAAGATGAAGGCTGAAAAATTGCCTAGAGATGTTGTGTGGCAAACCCAAAAATCCAAAGCTTTCTGAGAAGATGATGGGCGGCCCTCAACCACAAACGGGCTGACCCGGTGCCGACAACCCCAAACTCCCCTGGGTGGCGGCTGTCAAGCCCAAAACCCGCAAAAGAGGTGGTGGGTGGCAAACCTCCAGAAAGCTGGCGCAAGAAATCCCGACCCTGAAGGTGAAACCCAAGACCCTAAGAATGAGGGAGACGGAGATTCGAACAACCCAAACCACGAAAGTACATGGCGGCTTGAAAACGAAACGCGAGATGCTGCGCTAGGCGGCTAAGCCTTAACATGCGTGGCGGGCTCCCGAAACTCTCCCACCCTAAACCCTTGAGGATATCTCAGAAGTCAATGCGATGAACGGTGGCAAACCAATGCCGAAAGGTAAATCACGTGGCAAAGCCTGGTACCACACTCAAAAAGAGTTTCGAAAATTGCAACCATCAAACCACTACTCATAACAGAAACATACGCTTCTTCAAAATGGATTTCCGGCTTGCCCTCCAGCACGGGTTTCCCTTACGACCCAGGCCCAGGCATTACAAGTTCGCCGTTATCGTGATGTTGTCCACTCGAAAAGGCCCTCCCTCTCTCAGCTGTCCACAGTGATATGCTCGCACCGACGCCAGCCACGTCTACCTGCCAAGCCAGCGCTAGGCTCAAGACATGGCAAACATCCTTGATGTCCAACTCTCGAGGCCCAACGAACTGGGACAGTCACCATAGCTGCAGCTTGCGATGTGCCTCGCTGCTAACCTCGGATGACATATGGACTTCTTCAAGGTACTCTGGAGGCAGATTGTTCAGAGACTCTACCACAAAGCAATAGCCGCGTCGCTTCACAAATTTCTTTCACAGCGGCTCTCTCGGGGCTCCATGGCGTCGTCACACTTAGCGACTTCGTCTTTACAGCCCGTCACGGAGGTATGAATGTCACAGTCTCGCTTGACGGAGCAGGGTGTCTCTTCGGCCCGGCGTTTCAAAAGAGACAGCTCAGTGGGTTGTGATTCTTGTAAACTCTGCCTCGCATCGTTGAGAGCATGAGAGCATGGGTTGGTGAAGCCGTTGTTGAGGGGTTCCGTTCTAGGGTGCTCAGGTGGCGAAACTGATGCATTGAGGGCTCCTTCAGCCTATCCACACGATCCAGCGGAGCGGCGAAGGTGCGCTGTGCGACAGTAAATACTGCAATGACCATTGCACTGAGTCAGTTAAGACGGGACGACCGTTGATGCTACATATTTGTCACGTTTCCGGCAGGCACGAGGACTCAACCGTGCAAGCGGCAGGCACCGGCAGGCACTGCAGTGCTTAGAGTCTTAGAGTACACTTGCTGTTTAACACCTCATTCTGCTGCTTCTACACTGCATTCTGCCTGCCGCGGCTCGTGGCTTAGGAGCACGTGCTGGGAAAACTGGCAGAAAGGTCTAAGATGAAGCCCTTCCAGCTTTTTCAAACCGTGCAGGCGTCCCAAGATTTTGCACTTGCTAAAGCTTTCGTGAGTGCGGGCATGCTTGTGGACACCTGTTTATCGACAAGCGGAACAGAAAACTCACGAAACCATTCAGCCTCCGCAAGCGGTGCTGCCGACAGCTTTGTTCCTCGGCTAGCATCGAGCATCCGAGCGCACTTCCCCAACCCTGCGCTCCATCAAACACAACAGACTTGCAGAACAGGAGCGGTGGATCCTCACGTTTCAAATCCTCAGACGGTGCCCGACCTCAGCCGAATCTAGGTGCTGAGAGGTGCTAAAGGCGTTGAGCCTTGGGGCCCTTAGCCTCTGATGCCTTGAAGCTCTGCTGTTTCTATACACATCGTTGTCAAAAATTGAACTGGGCAAGAAGCCTGCATGGACGCTGTCCAAGCCGAACGTCAATGCGGCCTGACGTTGCTGCTAAACACACCAGCTTCTGATTTCGAAGCGGAGTACACATACGTCCAGGGCGCCCTGCAAAGAGGACACTGAGAGCCAGAACTGCCACAGGCAGTGAGATCGGTTCGCGGGCCTCCAGGGACATCAGATTTCAAGGCCTGTAGAAGGACGTTCTGCGACAATGTCGCTCTTACCGGAGCTGTGGAAGGGCTCTTCAAGTAGTAATCTTGTTTGCAGCTGTGTTTCAGCAGCAAACTACTGGATGACTGTGCTAGAATTGCCGACTAACACAACTAGATAGACGCATGATCGAAGATAGATAGAAAGATAGATAGACCGATACATAGATACATAGCTAGAAACATCAAAAGATACTTGCGTATACCTGTGTATTATACAGACTTACATACACATGACGGAGCAGAGAAAGCACCAACAATGCAACCTCAGACCCTTAACAGTACAAAAACTGTACTGTGCACACTCCAGACACTGCAAACGCAGACAGGCGCCCATCCAGCGATTGGTGCCTATCTGAGATCTCTCACGGGAAATTCGCAGTGCGTTGCCTACGAGCCCTCATGAGTAATCGGTAATACTAATTGCCAAATGCCACAGGCAGCAAGGGTCAGTGACTAGCGTGAGGAATCGCATAGGGTGTGAATGGTCGCTTTACAACTATGTATCTGCCAGTCACGTCAACACCACTCACAGATTCTCCAACAGACAACTTAGTGCTGAAGATTCAACTTTGTGAAGACGGGTTTCCGAACGTTGGATTTGTAAACAACAAACGTTGCCAAATGAATTCACATACAGGCACCATTGCAGTGCGTTATGTGTATGTGCCTTTCTCCCATTAGGAAACAAGATGCACACGCTCTGCTGAATGTGTTGGGAACTGTTGATTATTGATTTTTAATTCTGATGGCTCTAAGCACCCCCCGATTCCTTCATGCCGGCTGCTGCCACAAGTGGCGTCAGACTGAAGGCGTAGGTCCTGCCACAGAATTACATTTCCGCGACCCGCATATTGTCCGAGGGCGTTTCGTAATCCATGACACGGTGATTCACCCACCTAAGGCCCTGGCAACATCGATGCAGCACCCTGGGCAACGACTTTCAGCACGTTCGAGGCTTCCTCTCGCAGGGGACTGATACATGATATTCTGCTTTAGCTGGGAACTCTTGCCAGTAGGTGCAGCAAGTTGCGAGTGCGCTCAACGAAAGCCACGTCCCTCCAGAGACGGTACACCTTCAGCCTAAAGACCCCCGAAAATCAAACGGGCCAATTCATGGTCACGGAGGCTCCCATCATCTCGTATCCCTGATTCCTTCCCTTACAAGCAAGAGCTTAGCAAGTCATTCCTTAAAGCTGCTGAGCTGTTTGTCCTTGTTGTTCATACGACTGGGGTTTCAAAATTCATAAGTTCAAAGGACGACACCCTTGCTTCGAATTGGTTCGGTAAGCAAGGTGTAGCATTGCAGCAGGGTGATGTGATGTTGAATTGAACGCAGGCTAACTTCACATCATCAGGCACGGCCGCCCCACCAAGCGGCTCTCGCATCGCGTAAAGCACTGTTGCCCGGTTGATCCCAGAGTGTCGGCGCTTGAATGTCTTTCGCACTTGGAGCGTTGACTTTCATATCAACCGTCATGCTTGACCTTTTAATTTTTTAGTGTTCCGCTCCTTCCCAGTTGGCTCTCTCGATGCGGCCAAGCATAAGGCGATTCTGGAGCAACTAGTGGAAGCCCTAATGGGCTGCTACTACTTGTATGGCTTGCTGCGGCTACGGCTGTGGCAGCGGTGGCTGCTAACGGACGATGTTTGATAAACTTCAGGAGTCAGAAATTCAGATCATTCTCGTGAGCAGGTCTGGTTCCGCGTGAAGGCCCGAGGCCATTTCCCAAGCATTTCGATGTCGTGCTAGCAAATGATGGCGTGCTGTCCTGCTATTTGATGTTGTGTTGTCCCACCCACTCGCCAAGAGCAGACCGATATGTCAAGGCAGCGGACCTTGTCACGTCTCGGCTGCTATTCGTATTTGCATCTGAGTGCTACATGGTCGGCGCGCAAACGAATCATTGGCAGCACCAGAGCTGCCACCGGCAGCGCGGACAAAACCCCACCAGCCCGCCCCTCCCGCGCCGCCGGTCCCGTGTGTTTCAGCTAGGACAAGCGGCTAGCACTGAATTTCAAACTGACTGCAAGCACTGGTACTAGGGAGTGCTTGAGGTATGCCCGCTGATGCAGTAGTAGGTGCCAGCCAGGACGACTGAGGCTACGACTTTGACAAGCATGGTTGCTGTCCAGCCTTTGCACCGATGACAAACAGGATGGTGCCACGCACAAGGCCGGATTAATTCTCTACGAAACACATTGCGAAAGGCTTTCCAATAAAATTGGGCTGTCTCTCTCTCTGGAAGCACAACATGGAGGTGGCAGGCCTGAGGGGATCCACACAAGCGCACATATGAGCACTCGTACATCCTGGCGGGTGATGTGTTGGAAGACAGCACATTTCACGAAAGGAGAGGTCGGTGTTCAATCTTCGGCTTCACGTGTCGTCGTATGTGAGTGACTGTGATCTGCTGAGAACCGCGAGCACTGAAAAGTAGCAGACACGAAGCCAAGCTTGCGAGCTTACCCAGCCGGCAAAGAAGCCCCGCTCGAAGACGTTGTTGAAGGAACTCTTCGCCGGGTCCTGTGCTTAACTGCACAAGATGCACCTTCAGCAGAGCCTTGATGCAACTGCTGCTGAGCTCACGACGGTAAAGAGAAAAGGCATGATGATCAGGAGAAAGATGTTAAAAAGCACCTTTTGGATCGGCCGCTAGACTGCGCGACATTGCTGCACATGGCATTTCCAGTCCGTGCTGGCAGCGAACAACGTTTCAATCGTAATATAGGTATCTGCTCGAGCTGTAGGAATGGTTGTCACCGAACCAAGCAATGCCATCGCTCCGAAACACGGCGAACCGCCAGCCTCTCCCGAGACCAGCTGCACTTTCTGCTCGTACAGGAGGCCACCCCTGGCGGTCAACAGAGCCATCCATGTGACGCCTTTGGCCTTATCATTCGATGTCACTATGCAAAGCGAGACATTCAACCAGATAAAAGGATGCCGCCGATGCATTTCCTCTGCTCTTAAGGTCTTACAACCTGGACCCGAAGCACTATCCCTCAGGGAAAGTGCCAAAGGCCTCTTCTTGAGGAACTTTTCGGCCAGAAGGGCCTATGCGGCGCTTCCAAACTTGTTGCGCTATAAGGGGCTTCTCACGCTGTGCTCCGGACCCCAAGGCAGTTGAAGCCTCGGAATTTTCGGATATGTCCGGATTCAAGGATGGGTCCGTTCGTCCGCGGCTCTGAGACTCCCGCTGATGCTGGACAAAGCAAGGACCGTTCCCGACCTTGCGGAGATCGTGACATCCAAAAGCACTGCAATCTCCAACGATGCGTCTTGGGCGCGTCGAGGCACAGCTCGAGGCGTGGTCCGCCTTCAAAGCACTGCACACTGTGGGACAGCAGCGACCGAGCAGCGGCCGGCAGGCCTCGCCCACAATGCAGCTTGCAAGCTTCACCTGCAAGCAGAGCTGAAGCACTCGCCGCGACGCCGCGAGGTCCAGGTGCCTCGTGCTTGACGTAGTAGAAGCATCCCAAAGCGACAGTGACTCCGGCCAGGGAGCACCACCTCGAAGACCCGAGACGTCTCGGAGCGTGCCGCGCTCGCATCTGATGCATCCGTGGCTGCGGCTGCATCGCCGAGTAGCGCCGTCGGAACAGCACCGCCTCGAAGAGAGAGAGAGAGAGCTTGGAGATGCTGGGCCCAACAGCAGTCCCCCCTTTTGAGGGCAGGGGCTCCACAAACTCCAACAAGCGGTAGACTGGACTGGCAGAGCACCTCAAAGTGGGCACGAGCTGATGCACCCTTCAAATGCTCCAGAAATCGGATCCGAAAACATCTCACTGCTCCGGTGCACCCGCACAGATCCAGCATCCAACTTCTCGAGGGCCATGATGAGACAGAGCCTGAAGCACGCGGCACCAGAGTGCTCCCAAGGATCCTCTGACACCATCTCCGAGGTGCTAGCTTGCTCATGACTAGACAGAAGCTCACCGGGAGCTGCCTGGAGACCAGCAACCATAGAAGAGGCTTGCATTGCAGCCATCTTACTGGACGTCAAGCATCGTCAAAGGTACGCTCGTGCCCGTTTGACGTCGGCGTGGCCGGCACTGGCTACTCCTGGGAATGTAACCCGAATCGCACGGCCTTCCGACCGCCATCGGCTCGAGGCAGCGGTACACCTCGTCATCTGAGAGCACAAAACACCGCCACTTATGGCACTATGGAGACTCGGAGACCCCCTAATCAGCATTCCAAACCCAAACGGGGTATAGGCACAGGCATAGGGACCGCGCAGTCGAGAAGGACTATATATAACCCATGGAGCCGCAGCGAATCGTATTCGGGTCCCACCATAGGAGCACAAGCATGTCGCGTCGATGGCAGTTCAGGCCCAAGTTTCTGACGCGCTCTCGATAACCAGGGTGTAGCTGCACCTAGCAAATTTCATGGCTCGAGCTTTGCAAATCAGTCCGACAATGAGGATCTGGATGCTGCATTGCATGCTCCTACTTGCCAGAATCTCGAATGTCTGCTCATCCGCATGCCTGCCTTCAAACTTGGGAGCGAAATAGAAGGTCTCGCAGCAACCAGGAGTCCTTGTGAAAGCAACGCGGATTCGTGCTCTGTGTGGAGACACTGGAGGGGGTAGCTTCGTGATGTTTTCGGGCTCGGCTTGGGACTTTACACTATCATGCCAGCACGCACACGCACAGACACACACACAGACACAATCACAGGCCTATGGCTGTTGAGATCGATGTCCTGAGATGCAGTACTAGCACAAGGAACTACCAGCCAAGCTGCAAGGACATAACTGCGGTTGCAGGCCGATACTGTGCTGCCGGGATGCTGTACAAGGATCAGCGTGACACCGTTGAAACCCTGGTCGGGTGCCTGCCGGACTCTGTCGACCAAGACAGCCGATCGCCCTCACGTTCCTGCCAAGAGCAACCAAGCGCCTTGTTGCTGTGAGCCCAGCTTACAAGGATGGGCTTGGCTGCATCGAGCATGATGAAGCCAAGGACCTGAAGGGCAACCAGCTTTCGCACTGGGACTCTCATTTTCTGGAGTGCCCGGCCACCGGGCCCATGTGAGGGAAGCCCGAGCCTGACAGCCCGCAATGAAACCAACACCTACCAGGACCCCTTCCAGGGCCTTGCTGGTCCGCTGTTGGCTCAGACACATCGGTTACCTTGCGTTCAAAGGCATTCAGAAACATGCCATGACTGGACGACAGCAAGGGCTGGAGATGAATGCCACTTGGTGCTGAAAAGACGCACAAGAATTTGAAGACGCCACCTGCATCGTGCCCACAGCTATCAGCTATCACGCGTTCTTGGCCAAACCATTTTGCAAGAGATTGCCTTCCGCAGGAACGGTGTTGACAGCTGGTTCTTCGGCTGCCTGCAGAAGTGCCACAGAAACAGTCCTGGTGATACTCCGAAACAGCTCAGGCAGTCGCGGCGGCTCGAAGTGGACGCCATGGTGCATCCTGGCAAACTCACAGGGAACAAAGGCTCCAATCCAGCCCTGCATCTGCTCTGATGGGTCTATAAGGCCCCAACTGGGGGCGCTTTTCGCGAAAGGTTGGAGCCAGCGCCCAGACCATGATGGCAATCAGCACCTGGGTCACAAGGCCAGGTCCCAATGCACATTTTCCAGTCCCTTCAAGAAAGTTGTGCTTGAAGCCCTGCCTGCCGTAATAAGTAATAAGGCCGAGCGACCAGCAGGGCACATGCAGACACAGGTCCGTTGTTCACCGGTGTAGCAATAAAGGCAAGTGGGAAGAAGTACATCACCTGGAAGCACTTCTGCGATTATGCGCAGACCAATGAAATCGAGAGTTTTCATATGCCCTATCAGCACCCCGGCTGAGGAGCGAACAGCTGCCGATAGAATGTGGGACAAGTTTTTAACGACAGCTGAGCACTGCTTGACCTCATAGACGCATAGAATGCTGCATAACACCTGCTAACTTCCCAAGTCTTCCATGGACTTCTCAGGTCGTCACAATGATCCCGGCCATCCAGCCATGGATTGCCCAGACCAGAACGACAAGCAGATTTCGCCTGTCCGACACCTGCAGCATTGGAGCCCTGACCCGGACACCCCTGACGAACAAAGCGGCAGTGCGCCAGTGCTGCCTGCTCCCAGCTGCAACACGAAGTAGCTCCTGAGTCTGAGAGCCGAAAACACAAAGCCTTCTTACTCTTGCGGCATGTGTTTGAAGGAGCCGTGCGCCGAGTCCTCCTTCGGAGGATGCCAAAGTTTGCAGGTAGAAAGCGGTCAAGATGAACGAGGTCACAACCTCCCCGAGCATTATGTTCGTCCTGGGCAGGGCTCACCATGAGGTCCCTCTGACATCTTCGCTCGGGCAGCGGCTTTTGAATGTAAAAAGGTGCCCTCTCGGAGGCATCAAGCTTGAGAAACCTTGCAATGGAGCAGTGGTGTTTGCGCAAGTACAACCAAGCACCAGAATTCCTTCAGATTCAATCAACTAGCTCGCAACACCAGAAACTGAGTCTGCAGCCTTTCGGTCAAAATTGATGCGGAACAAGAAAGAAAAATGCCTTACGTACAGGTATGATACGTTGCCCACCAGCTGCCAGAGCGAGAGCTGTCCAAGGCACTGCAAAGGAGTCCAGCAACGCCCAGGAAGCGGAAAGGAGCCTGGTGCTCCTGCCCGAAATAGGGCGGCCTTGCGAAAAGGAAGTGAATGGGCTTCAATGCCGCACGCTCCGAAGCTTGCGCTGCCAGTAGCTACACAATGCTACACAGCAAGAACAACCACAGGACACAGTGCCTGTAGTACAGCAGCCGTACCTGAGCCAAGCTCACCCAGAAGAAGTGTAGCGATCAAAAACTCCAAGTTGATCAGCAAAACAAAGCTCATGAAAAAATTGAGCAGCATCCGCACCAGCGGACTCGAGGTCGACTGAGCAAAGCACTTGCATGAAAGCAGTCACAGCCTGAGGAGCATGCATGTGTCTGGGAGTCATGTGTGTCATTGTGTGTCCAATTCGTCAACGCTGCGACTGGCCTCTGCCCCCCATCGATTTTGAAAGCTCACTCCAACTACGTGCATGTTGCACCGACCAGAATCGTTACGGCTGTGAAGTCGTGAACTTTCAGCTCACGATTCTTTGCTGAGCTTGTTGCAGCAGCGACCAGCGCAATTGCAGCCCACCTTGGCGAAAAGCTGAAACCCAAACCCAAACAGCGTTTCGGCTCAGACTTGGCAGCAACCGCATAGCCCGTCTTGTCTGAGGTCTGCGCTGCTGAGTGGTGTAGCGACGACCCAGAACAAGACGTGACCTCGACAGTATGGTGCAGAGTCCTGCAACTAAAAGCATACCGGGCCGAAGACGGTACCATCCATGGTTCTGGTCTACGGTTACTAGGTACCAGAAAAACGAAGGCTTAAGGCTCAGATTTGCGAGCCGATGTTTAATCGCAAGCATCGTCAGATCTGAGCCCGCAACAGAACTGCCATGGTTGGAAGATTCACCTGACCGCTATCTCGGACCGATGGTTCAGTCGCTGCATGAAGACACTTGGCACCACCGATGGAACTCGAACTTGCATAACCCTTCCCCTGATAGAGAACCTAGTAGACAGTTCTGATGACGGAAAGACGAAGAGAGCCTGCGCCATGATCTTCAGGCTCCCGGCATTGAAGGCCCGAAAAGCAAACAACATGGCCTAGGACGTGGCAATGCAAGCCATTGGCAGATTCTGCAATTGAGCAAAAGATGCAGGTTACTAGTACCAGTACTAGTACTAGCAGGAGTAGTAGTAGTAGTAGTAGTAGTAGTAGTAGTAGTAGTAGTAGTAGTAGTAGTAGTACTAGTACTAGTACTAGTACTAGTACTAGTACTAGTACTAGTAGTAGTGGTAGTAGTGGTAGTAGTGGTAGTAGTGGTAGTAGCAGTAGCGGTAGCAGTAGCAGTAGCAGTAGCAGCAGCAGTCGTCCGTCTTTTGCGCAAGATCTACTACGATCTGTCGAAGACTGATGCACTGTGCCACCAAGGCTGGATATCATTGAGGCCGGTACGCCTACAGAATGATGACATGATAACCCCGAGTCTTGTATGCCCCGAGCTGGTTACGCAAGACTATTGCGGCTTGTTGCTTTCCTTTCGCAGACCCATCGTGAAACTTTCGCAACAGAACCGTTTTATCCAAAACAAAGACAGGGACCTTCAGATCAATGCCGATGTCGAAATTCTGACCCCAGAGAAGGCATCCGAGGCGTTGGCCATCTGAGCCGTGCAGAAGCAGGCGGCCACCTGCGGCAAGCCGCAAGAGGGTCGGAGGGAGTGGGAGAGGTAAAGGCGAGCACCGGGAAGACGCGCAGGGAGCGGCGAATGTCCAGGCAGCGCCTGTCCCAATTAAGAGAGAGAGAGAGAGAGAGACGCAGACGCAGACGCAGACACAGACGCGGCGCCCAGCTCGGTGCTCGCATCCCCGAAGGGCCTCACCCCGGGCATCCCGTCCAACAAAGCGGCCAGGCCCAGGCCGAAGGCGATGGAGAGAACGTTCTTGGCCTCGAAACGAAACGGCGAAACTGCGACGGCTGAAGATGCCACTACAACTCCTAGGACCTACGTCCATGCAGACTCGGCCGAGGGGCACAAAGTGCGATGGGCACCAGCGCAACGCAGCTGTGTGCAGCGGACCTTGGGGTCGAGTCGGAAGGTCAGAGGCACCCCGCAGCTTTCAGTTCCGACGAGGTCACGGCCAGGAAACTAGCAAGCCTTTCGAGGTGTCCAGCACCACGAAGAGGAACATCAGCCATGACATTCGCCTGGCACAGTGCTGTGGAAAAGTCATCATCACAAAAGTAGTCAAGTAGTTGAGACAACCAGAGAGGCAAGCAAGGCCTCAGCTCTGGATGAGGCTGCCCAGCTCCCACCTGCCGCCCAAGCCCGCCATGGAACTCTCCGAAAGCAACAGTATGTGCTAGGGCTGCTAGGGCATCAGGGCATCGACGACGCGCCGAAGCGACGAAGACACTGGGAGAACCTGAAAGACAGCAATGACATGCAACTAAATTCCACCGCATCACCTGGGCCTTTGCTGATGCAACTCTGTCACTGAGTACAGCACATCGCCCGGTGCAGCAAGTTCATCAAACAAACTCGGGGCTCGCTGTCTCAGACTGCGCTTCAGAGTCTGCGAGGATGGCCTCCAAAGACACTCAGAACAAAACCAAGATGGGTTGATTTAGAATATGTTGGAGCGCTTCGACGAGCCAGCACAGCATCCCTCTCTCTCTCTCTCTCTCTCTCTCTCTCTCTCTCTCTCTCTCTCTCTCTCTCTCTCGGCGATGTGCAGCAACCCATGGAGATTGGATGCTCTGAGCTTGTGGCGAGATGTCAGGCGACGAGAGGGGCAGGCAGAACAGCATCTGAGAAGCTCAGATGGCCGTGCTTCGAATCGGTGACGTTTCCCTCTTGGCACTCTGCCGAAGCAGCAGAAGCCTCCATGCCTTGGCTGACAGGCTCATAGCTCCCTTGTTTGGAGACTTCCGGTCCGGAAGAATCAAATGAATCGCTGCTTGTCATGCAAGGTGCTCGCATCTGTCCGAGCTAGCTCGGGGAGCCAAAGCCAACGAAGAGTTGCGCAGGAGGTGCACACCAAGTTTTGTGATGTTACATTCGGCAGACTTCAAGGCTGTGGATGTTGCTGCCAGCTTGAAGCAAGGTTGCTGCGATTGTGGAGAACATCGCAAATCAAGCGGTCTTACAAGATTCCGAAGGCTTTCTTCGCTATGTCAATACTTGCATGCTCTGTCTGAGCCGGTTCGCGCGGCTGACGTCATAGAGAAGCACGCTCACACCTCCGCTTGCTGCAGGGACGATTCGATGCTCCGTTCTGCTGGCGATCCTTCGTTTTCATCAAACCGCAGCAGCATGTATGGCTCTATGTCTCTCGCCTGGATCGATCATTGCAGCAAGGAACCAACCTCGGCTGCTAACGAATTGCAACCTCTTGAACTCTTGGCAGCACGCAAATCCGCAGGGTGAGCTGAATCCAAAGTGGGAAAGCTTCCAGAGATGACCGCTTGGGTGCCAAGCCAGCTGGCTCGCTGGCGTGGAAAACATGGAACTTGCGCAAGACTGCTTCCGTCACATATCGTTGGTTTGCACAAGTACGGCAGTGCCGAGCTCTCAAAAATAGAACAACGCAGGAGCGTATCCTCGCCAACACAGCATGACACAGCTTGGCAGCGAGCACAGAGTGAGAGGCAGCAGCGCTCGCCGCCTATGCCTTGGGAAGGAAAAGAGCTTCTGTGACGGCAGGGCTTCCTCAAACACAAACCGTTCAGGATTGCTGCCCAACACCGTGCAAGTCGAAAGGCCGAAGAAGTGAATCTGACGAGGATCTAATCTGCCCGAGCTGATGGAAACATCTTGCGCTTGATGTGCCGATTCCGTTTCATAGCTATCGTGATCCGACCCGACATCAACAGGAGACAGCTGACTCATTTTCGCACTTCTGCACCTCGTGCCTGCGTTGGTCGAAGGGAGGGAACAATCGAGAAGCCGACCATTTTCTGACTGATCTCAGGAAACCAGACCCTAACTGCCACGACCACCCTGCGACATCTCGAGTCCAGGTCTCTTGTCACGTGGATGTCAAACCCTAAACTCTGAAAGGAACAAGATCGGCAACACGCAAAATCATGAAGGGAAGCTTGGGAAGCAAACCATAAGGATGGATCGCAAACCGAGCTTCGCAAATGGACAAGCAACCCTAGTTGCAGCGATAGATCTGACGCCGACGGCCGGCTTCCGTTAGGGGCATGATCTAAACAGTTCTACCTGTGAAATGATCCGATTCGTTCCTGGCCCTCGACAAGGGGGACCCTCTCTCCTCGATTGTGTAGCAGAGACAGCCGCGAGGGCTGCATGGCTGTTCAAGAGATGACCCGAAACAACCGAGTAGATCTTGGCACCTGGACAGATTGCTTCAAACTTTGTATCTGAGACAAGTGCCACCAGGGCAGAAGCAGTGGCAGAGACGTACTTCCAAGTCGCTGGAAGGGACTTGACCCGCTTGTAATACCTGACGTCTGTGGTTCCGGTCAAAGAGTATAGATTTTAGCGCGAGTCTTTGGAGTGCAGCAAAAGCCCACCTGGCAAGCCGGTGGATGCGGCTCTCCACCAGGATCAAGCGAAACTTGGCATCCTTGTCCTGTCCCAAGCGGCCAAGCATGTGCCTAGCTTGCGGCTTTGGATGGTGTTCCTGCCTTGCGGTTCTTGTCCAGATGCTTTCGGATGGACACAGCCTTTTTGATCAAGTAGTACAGGTCCTGGCCCGACACGGCTCGCGTGCTCGCTCTACCTCGAAGCTTCGAGCGAAGCCTCCGGCAGTGTTGGGGCCAGACCGTTGGTCCTGGCGTACAGAGAAGGGCATTGCGCAGTCCGGATTTGAGTGACACTTTACAGCCAGCATCAACAGCTGCTGCACCAGCCAAAAGACGTGTTCATTTGTTGGCGTGTGCACAGCTAGTGTCGGCTAATCGCAAACGCAGCAGGCGGCACTTCAGGATGCGGAGGATGTGGTTGCCTGTCACTGTCTTCACCTGACCAAGACACAGCAGCAGCACTCAGATGACAGGTGGTCTGCAGTCAGCAGGTACGCAGCCGAACCGTCTACTGAGGGCGTTGAGAGATCTACTCAGGCGACAGGGCGACCGGACACTTGTCCATACCTAGAGTTTACTTTTGCCACGCAGCAACTCTAGTTCGCGTGAGGCAAGTTCACATCACCAAAGGCCTGGGGCACACCGAAGCTATCCCTGGCGTGCGATCATGCGGAGTCAAACCGAGAGCCAGGGCAGTCTTGATCCACAGGGCACAGCATTCACAATTCACAGCAGCTGTCAAGCGAAACAGTTGGCACCTCAGCGTGACACCGATCTGAGAAGGGGTCAGCCTGGACACGCGTGCAGAACTCGGGTGACTCGCGTGGCTAAGGCCGGAAGGAGCCGAGCTTGGCACCCCTTCTTGGCAAGCTTGCTGATGTGGTCGCAGACATCCTGGGATTTTGTTCTCAAGCTGGCTGTCACTCAGTGTTGTCGAGGCCCTGGCTTCGGACTTCATCTTGAGCCAGGTAGGAGGTGTGCGCTTGTACGGGATCGCGGAGGACGCCTTATGCAACAATCTCTCTGAACATCTATGCTGGAAGTAAATTCCTGCCAAGAGCTGAGCGATCCCCTTGCCCTTACCATACATGCCTGCACCAAGGTATCGCTGGCTACGTTCACAGAAATAAGGGTGAGCAGTTGAAAGAGCTAGGGCGAGTGCGACCCATAGCCGCACACCTTACACTCTCTTGCAGGGCTGTTAACAGCTCCAAGGGAATAGACTAAACCAGAAACTCGTTCTTGATATCAGCTGGTGCAGCAAGCACAAGGCTCTCGCTTCTTCTCCGCCCGGCACACCCCGGCGGATCCTATCGATCCCACGTACCCTGAAGGCCGAATGTTGCATCGGAAGTACTGCCAAGTCATGTCATATGCTCGCAGCATTCAATCGCAAGCGTCTGCGTGGTGATCTTCTTTTGCACGTGGAATCATCAAATCACTAGTCATCGCAGAGCCAGGAGGGGATTGGTGCGGCTTGGCACCTGCCCAGGAGAAGTGAGGCCTAGCTCTGGCATCTCTGGCACTGCACACTCTGCAGGCACCAGTGACGGCTGCTTCAGCGAGAAGATGGCCGAGCCCGCACAGGTGATGAGAAGGACCTGTCGAAAGCTTGAAAGAAAACGACACTGCAACTCAGTTTGGGTGGGCCCGGGCCAGCACGCAGCATAGGCCAATGACATATTGATGCACCTGCCGGTGTCGGAATCTTTCCTCGTGGGACTGCTCTCCGAGCTGTCAGCTGTGCCTCTCGCGCATCTGAAAGCAAGCCCTCTTCCATGCAGTCCGCCAACTGCCAAGGGGAGCCGGGAGCCGGATGGACAGACATGGAGCTGGCGTTCGTTTTTTCGAAGAAAGCATACGTGCTGCTTGCAGGCGTGGAAGGCACGGAAGGCAGGCGCCTCGACGGCTGGCAAAGCCATCCGTGGCTTCACTTCGCGAAGGCCATATCCTTGGAAGCGCTGCTGAATGCTTCGTGTGCTGGCACCGACAGAAAGGTGCCTCAGGCAGGTACCGATGTCATCCAGCATCACCTGTAGTGCCGAAGACAGGGAAGCAGCTCTCAAGCTCAGCCCATGAAAGGCGCCAAACATCCGCCTTGTAAAGTATAGGTGACACAATGCCTCTGCGTGCCGAGGCCTTTGCTCCTTCCGCGGGCCTTGCGTGTGCCGATCCTGGTGGCGGCGGCACGAGAGCTCCGGGTCATAGATCTCTGTTTTGGGGGCCCAACGGTGAGCCAGACTCCGCACCAAGAGGTGGTTCAAGTCAGCAAACCTGCCATGCGATTCGCGACCACGTGTGCTCTTTCCGCGATGATGATCATGTGTGGGCTGCACTTGGAACAGCTGCTTGCAGTTGCTCTCAACACAGGGGCGGAGACACCGGCTGAAAATCTGCAGACGGTCGATCCTCTCAGAAACTTAGACTTGTCTCTTGGCGAGGACTGGGACCAGTCTCTGGCCCAAAGCTTCTGAGACGCGATCCTTTGCACGACATCCTTGGAGGTCACCTGCAGGTCACGTACTGGCTTTTCGAGATGGCCATTTGCTTCCTCTCCTGGAAACCTGCCAGCGCGAGCACGCGTTCCAGTAAGTCCGGCACACGCATTTCCGGAAAGACGCGCACCTCGTATGATGCCCTGGGCCATCCAGTGGCTGCATCAGACGTCAGATTCCAAACCATCAAGGTGAGCAGGTGCTCGGCTTGACCCGTGTGAAGTTCATCTGCCGGAAGGCATCAGCCGCATGGCCCTCGGGGAAGCATTAAGCCAGTATCAAGATAACTATCGGCTAAAGCATGAGAGAGACAAGCCCAAGACCCGGCGCATCATCTGCGCCAACTTATAGCCCTGATCATGCTCAGCGTCGTGCAGTCGATTGCAAATTGCTCAGACTGAGGTTCTCACACCCCCTTCCTCGGTAAAGTAGTGATGCTGACGATGCCAGTTAGGACGCCAACCATCCTGCCAAGAAGATGAAAGTCCGAAAGCGTTGCCTGCCTACTGCTAGGGCGACCGGAAGTTGATCCTGCAACATCTCCACCAGGCTATCGTCACCCCCCTTCACAGACATGTCCTGGCCAGCTCGGTATCAGCGCGACAGTTTCACAGACCTTGCCGGGCAGGAATGAAACCCGCCAGGTTGACGGTGACATGAAGAGATGCTCGGCAGACCTGATAAGCCACGAGTGGCTTGGATGGGCTTGGCGACTGGTATCTGGTAGAACCGAGAATGCAACCTGAAGGGCTTCTGACAGGGCCTCGGCACCAAAGGACCTACTCAGGCTTCACCACCTCCGCCGTCGCTGCTGATTCAGCTGAAGGCAGGGCCGTTCTCACACAATTCGTGAGCTGGCGAAGCCTCGTAGAGAGACGCAGATCTCCAAGCAAGCAACTCGAGACGCGTTCTCTCCGTGTCATCGGCTGCTTCAAACTATGGCGGCGCCTCTCGGTCCTGAGGCAGCGACTGAGATTTGCTGGTCAAATCCTGGGCGTTGCAGAACGCCACAAGGCCGCCAAGATAGCAGATGGCATGGCAGTGGGCTTGAGAGGTGATGTCGTGCAACACAGCTTTGCACTGTAGCTGAGGGGTCCTCGCCGTGGCTTCCCATGAAAGTCATCACCAACCAACTCGAGACAAGCACCTCAAGAAAACAGGAAAGAGAGAAAGAGAGAGGGAAATAGAGAGAGAGAGAGAGAGAGAGAGAGACAGACAGAGAGAGAGAGAGAGAGCTCGCAGATTCTTTCACGATGACTGCCAACTTGCAAACACCTTCTGTCACTGTCTCGCAAACCTTCGAACAGCAAGATCAATGTCTCTTCAATTTCGGTAACAGCAGGCATGTCAAAAGAAACTTCACACCGAACTCAGAAGCATTTAATATGCCGGACACCTGCTTAGACTTTATGCTCTTTGCAAAGAAACATAAGACTGAAAACCGCAACTAATGCCAGCCCTTTGACAGTATCTACTTGTCTACTCTCAGAACCCTCCAAGCATGTCCACGTTCAACCTTTTGCTTGGACTCGCAGCCCGAGTGAGAGCAGCTGCCAGACTCTAAACGACGTGAACCAGACTTAAGGTGTCGGTGATTCCATTCCTCCCACAACTGCGTCCGGCCCACCACGTGTTCCGAAGCATCAGCAAGCGAGCCTTGCAGCCAGGGCTGGCTCTGAGAAAAGCAGCGGTTTCGTGCTGTCAAAGACGAAAGAAAGCCGGCCTTGCCCACGGCCGGGATCCATGCGAACGTTCTGCTGAACCGTCCCATTCAAAGTCTCAATTGCCTGCCACTTAAGGCACGTCAAGCTGCGCTCTCACATGCAAGGCAGGCAAGGCAGGCGCATGAGAATCTTCAGCCTCTTGAAGTCTTTGAGGTCGCCAGGCACCCAGCCCGTCTAGACCTCTAGAAATGAAATGCTTGAAGGCTTGAAGGATGCAGTCGACTCTTCGCCATGATTCGCCCCACTGCACAGAAGACATCTCGGGGTCTCACCAACTTGCCCGCCACTGTCAACTCTCAGGCTTACCGTCTTTGCCATTGCATGAGCGACGCAAAGGTAGAGCAACCTTCGACACGCTCCGCTGCGCTTAGACACTTCACTTGCGCGAGACGAGAAATACTTACTCTCCTGCCGGCACGTACCCTTGCAGCTTACAATCGAGCCAGGGCAGAAGACGCTTCAGAGCGCAGCCTGGATGTTCCGAAGCATCTCGCCGGGGAGACCTGAACGGGCAACCGCAGGCCGCCGCGGCTCCTGGCAGCTTCCAACTCACCGAGGCTGCCGCGAAGTCAGAGTTTGGCATCAGATGAAACAGGACCTCGCGGAACCGACACTGACGAATCAGAGCAGATGCCCATCAACCACAAAGACACACAGGAAGGCTCGGCCAGACACCGCTCTGAGCCCTGGGAGGCCGGAAGACCTGAAAGGAGCGAGGCTTCTTGATCAAGAGGTTCAAGACTGACACTATGCACGCTATGCACGTCATGTTCCAGGCTCTAGCTGGAAGGTCATGAATGGGAGCAAAGGTGTGCGGCATTCCTGATCAAGGACCCTGAACGGCCATGCGAATACTCCTGGTGCTTACCCCACTTCCTGATGTACAGATACCCAGCAAACAACAGCCCAAGATTCGTTCGGCGATGGGTTCTGGAGCTGCGAGTGTACTATGGCACTGTGGCCAACGATGTCGACGATTGGGCGGGCACACGATCCTGTTTGAGGCTAGCCCCCCATCCTGCATGTGTGCGAAAGGAATGCTACCACTCTCAGCTAAGTGAGACGGGGAGTGGGTCTGTAGCTCGTGTTGTTTCGAAAGCATTCAAAGCACAACCTTCACAGCGTGTCCCTGGGCTCCGGACAAGACTAGGGGCAAGGTCGGGCATGGAGTCGATACATGGACACCATGTGGCTCGCCCCAGCCCTTGAGCCCTGATCGCATTATCGCGTTGCATTGCACTTGTGGCACTTGCGGGCAGCAGCTACAAGCGTTACCCTTGCCGGTTCCTTGTTGCAGCTGTCACGCAACACTCGGCGGCCAAAACGACATATTTCTTCCTCAATGCTCACCTGCTCACTCTACACGATCCCGATTGATGATGCGACGGTATCAAGAAAGAACGATCCTCCATCCACCAAGAGCGCATCGCCAGTTCACATAGCCAGCAGCGAGACTCCGTCAAGTCGCAGCAAAGTCCCGGATTGCTGCTCCAAGTCAGTGCCCGGTCTTCTCGGGTGCTCTTGCCAGAACGATGTTGTGGAGTCTTTCTCAAGTCTGCTCAGGCCATATCATGCATCGTCCCAACGTCGTCGCAAAGCAAGGATCGGAAGAGAGCTGCCATGCCACAGGGGCCACACCTCCGAGCCTTTCAAGACCTGTGCAGATTTGATTGTCCGATTACAAGACCAGGGGGGGGCCGAACGCAGTGTGCCTGCATACCGCCCCTTCGCGCGGCACCTGGCGATCTCCACTGGTCCTCATCGTGAAGAGATGTTCGGAGCAGACGTCGTTGTGCAATGTTGTGCAGGCAGCACCGTGCCCTCTGGAGCACCAGTGGCTCAGCTCAGTGAAGTCTGGAAGCACATCCTGCAAGTCTTCTAGAGAATGAGGCCCAGTCATCCTCCTGCAAAGCGAAAACACATTCACAGGCCCGTTGCTTCAAAAAGCATGCAGGTCATGGGAGGATCTTCGGCAAGACTTGCTGCAACCGCTTCCCTGTGATCCCTTGCGGCCTGGAAGCAGAGTTACACGGCGTGGAGACGTTCGAACATCGGCAAAGTCCTGCGTTTGGACTTTCTAGGCAACGACGGGCTGCGCACTCACGTCCACTCATCCTGACTCGAAAGGGTCAGGCGACAGCTGGTATGAGACAAATTTAAATTTTCTGATGTTGCGACGACTGGCACCACGCACACCAAAAGGAGGTGGGATAGGGCGACATGCTTCGAGCTCATCTCGTTATGAATTTGTACCATCTGCCATCCACCTCCCTTGGGTGATGATAGTTTTTAATATGTAACAGATCTAATTTACTGTATATCTTTATATATATATATATATATGTATTTTAAAAGAATACTTGCTCTGAGGCGGTGAGGCTTCTGTGATGTGCACAGGCCTTCGCTTAGCGAGTGAAGGACGAGAAGAAGCTCCGGGTTTCCGAGTTCTGCGCGGCCTGAGTCATGATCGTGAGTTCGTAATCCAGATATGTCCGAAATTGAGGGTGGGGTTCAGGTACCAGACCGTGCGGAGCAATGTCTGGCAGAGACGGGAAGACGGCGTGAAATTCGAGCGCACCTACACACTTCAAGCCTCGTGCGGGGTCGGGGAAACCTGCAGATATTGTTTAGCCTGGGAAGCTAGAAGCAGTGGCTTCACGATGCCTCTGCTGCCCTACGCGTTGTCCCTGGCATCAGGGAGTTCCACCGACAGTCATTGCAACAGCAACACTTGAAGGTCCTTGACGACGAACGGCTCCACATCAGAAGGCACTAAGTGCCCAAAGTTTGGAACCATCTGCAGCATGCGTGTGACAGCCAGATCAGATGCGGCTGCCCTGTGCGGAATGTCCAACAGCAGTGGGCCTTCCGCGTGTCTAAGCATTTCGAGCATCCGCAATGCGACGGCTTGCTCCCGCACCAACCAGCCGAGGAGCAACACGGAGACCTGAATCACAAGCCAAGCAATCAGGAATATCCACATTGGCCACACTGGAATGCTCAGGACTCCGCTGACCTGCAGGGCTGCACGATGCAAGGATGCTGGAAGCCTCAGTGGAGGAGTTCAATGCTCAACTTTCACAAGAGCAGTGTTTAAAGTTATGCTGAAGAGTTACCGAATGCACTTGTATGTTCGCTTCGGGAACCCCAGTATAGGCTTGCGAAGCACAGCCCGGGCACATCCTCACTGGAAGAGCAACGCCCATCGGCTCGCCATGAGCCTGCTTTAAGAGCAGGCCAGGGAGGAACAACTGAGTGGCTCCCCTGCCTTCAATGTAGCCCACCTGCCAACACGATGTCTGTGGTCAACTGCAGGCATGTAGCATGCAGGAGGGTGGATCATGGCAATTATGAGATGGAGCCACTCCCATCCTTAGCCACCACCAACCACTGGATTGTGCAACTTTCGCACACACACGCACACACAGGCGCGGCAACGACATCGAGTCATGTCTACGGAGCGATGCCACTGTTGATCAGTCAAAAAGCTCAAGAAACCCTGCTGTGCGCGGGGCCTTCGGGTGCAAGTTCAACAGGAACACGTGTGTCCTACAGCCGCCAAAGCTTCACAGCTGGCGGCTTCAGCAACGGCACAGACGAGGCCGCAGCTTCCCCCACCAAAATTCGTGTAGACCGCGATACAGAGCACGCTGGCCCTGCCCGACCATGCACGGCAACGCACATGCCAAGCTGCCGCTGGAAAGGAGATGAATATGCATTCCTACATGGCGAACGGCCTCGTGCCAAAGTCCGAAGAACTTGGCCACGCTGCTGAAGCCCTATGGACATTCGGCTCACAACACACAAGGAAAGTCACGTAAAGGCGGCGGAGTTAACCCTCATAAGTGCAAATGTGGCTCCTGCTTGGCACCACTTCTCGTCTTGACATCTGCAATCAGATGCGGGCTCAAGGCAGCTTCTGCTAGCTCTCTCCTTGTTCTAGTTCTATTTTTTCGTCAGCAAGCGCCAACCGATGAACCCTCTGCTGGAGTCAAATGTCAAATTGCATCACATATGCTCAGGGTACTCATCCTGTACGGCTTGCATTAGATCATTAGATGTTGTGTCGTTGGGAAGAGCCGTCTCGCTGAAGAGTGCTTTGATTCCCAGCACAAACTGGTGAGTTCATCCTCTCGCCATCTCCGAGCTCATCGTTCGCACGAAAAGGCCTACATACCAGAGACATAGCTTGATTTCCGGGCAAGCTCCGAAGCTTGCAGATTGCATGTGCAAAACTTGCGCACATTTCCGGTTTCGAACCACTTCCAGAGCTTCATGACAAAGGGTGATTGAGTCCCGGAGTGGTAACTCTCTGGGAGTCACGGATCATTGACATTCACGGAATCCCTAGCCGATTGGGCAAGGATTATCTTCATCATGGGAGATTTTCATAGGAGGCTTTGCCGTAGGGTCTGGAAGTTCGACAGCGAATTTACGGAATCGCTCCTCATGCGTTTCCACGCTCTACCCAGAGGGGGGGAAGATCGTCATGATGCAGAACACGCCTTCTGGGTTCACGTTGATCCATATGGCCAGCGTGGAAACTGTTCCCGATGCCAGAGCCTGGAGTGCGCCACGAGGACCCTCCAACGAACCTCTGTGATGAACTAATTTACTGATCCATGCCTTGACCAGAGCCGGCATCGATCGTGGCCTCAAAAATCTGACATGGGATTGGACCACCCGGTCATGATTGGCACGAGAACACGTGCTCTTCAATGTCAGTCGGTGGGATCCACCCCAGCACAAGCCGATGTAAGGATCCCAGAAGACTTGAACGCAAGCCAACTCATCCGCATGGGGGGTGTATATGAAATATATGAATATATTAATGTGCAAATGGAGGCAGCATTGGTGCTTCAGAGTCTCGTTTCTGCACCCCGAAGTTGCCACGCGATCCGGTCCTGCCGAACTCCAAAAAGCTGTCGGCTTCGTAGACCATGGCAGACTTGATTCGGACAGTTCTGGAATGTGCAACTTGGCGATGGAGACTCTGCATGCTCACATACGTCCTCGTACTGCTCAAGACGGGCAGCCGAGACAGCCAAATCCAGCCAAGGGCTATCCACCGTGGGGCGTTGCCAGGTGATCTTGCTGTCCTCACGAATTGCTTCAGACTGGAAGCAATACCACCACTCGTCACAGAGCTGAGGTAAACAGCTACTTGTACGTGAAGAAATATTCGACGTGCTTAAGCTCCTGATTGTGGAAAATGTGCTGGAAGTACTGCCTCTGCTCCAGTAGGGTGCACCAGCACCACCGAGCTGACGGACACTGCCCCAACTGCAGTCACAGCATTGCACCAAGTATCACCAAGTCACTCATGCAAGCCCAAGCTCATGAACGTACCGATGCTGCCATGATGAAAAACGCGGGGCACTTGCGGATAGAGGACGGACCGACCTGTCGAGAGCTTCGGGACGCTTGCAAAATCGTGGTGCCTTAAGAGGAAAATGACACATCGGGGCCTTGGTGCTGCTGTGGACTCCGGAGCCAGTGATCCCAATTGCACATCTTCGGCTCCCTTCCTGAGCTCGAAGCAATTCAGGCGCTGTATGGTAGGAAGGACACATGGTAAGCCGCTAAGCCAAGCAGCGCCTCTCATCAACGTTCGGCCAGTTGGGCTGCAGCTCTTTCCAAAGCCGGCGGAGCATTAGCCAACCTGGCTTAGCACAATCAGGGCCCAGGCTTGGGACTCCGAACACCGCCCTCTTTCCGCGCCTAAGCCAGGCATGAACTGCGTCCGCAGCAATCCTTTGGGCTCACGGACCAGGTGGTCCTTAAGCCGACCGAGCATCTCGTCATGCTACACTGCCACACCTTGAATTTGCTAAGACCCTAACCCTATCAAGCTAACCTCACCCTAACACAAAAACCCACCCAGAACAGCCGCCATTCAGCCGGGGAACGAAGCCGTTGTCGTTCCAAGCAGACACGATCCAAAGCGTGCTGTCACAGTCCAGAACCGGTGCAGCAGCCTCTCCAAACCCGATACATGGTCCATCTTTCATGCACTATACGGTACATGAAGAGCCATTCGCCCACAATAGCCTGAAAGTACTCCAAGAAATCAGGCGAAAACCGCAGGTCATCTTCCACGATGATGATACCTGATGCTCACAAGCAGCACCACTGTTCGAAGAACACGATTTCGGGCATTGCCCCGTATGCGCTGTACTGCTGACTTCACGTGTGATTATCCGGATAATGCTGTGCGCGAGTGTTCACAACTGCGTGGAGTCGATGCCTGACGATGCAAGCCTAGGGGCCCGGAGTCTGATTGAAGTGCGTGAACGCAGCGTCAATGCTCCATCGATAGTGTCTGGCAATCCTTGAATCTGTCTGCCCTGCTTCTCTGAGAAATACGGTACAAAAATTCACTGATTCGTGGCTGCTGAGACACCTGAGGGCTGCAGATCTCCAGCCGGAGTTCACTGGCGGCTTCGCATCATGGGCAATCCGAGAAATATTCATGGAATCAACCACCTTGGCAACCTGAACTCAGGGAACTGCAAGCAAAAGATGCCCAGCCTCATGAGTAGTCCATGATGGCGGGGCCTCTTCGTCACTGCCATCCTGGGAGACGAGAACCTCGTTCGCAGAGAAGCCGCGCACGCCAGCCAGGCTCCTCAACGTTTCCAACAGCTTCTCGGCTCGCCGATGCGCCAGCAGCAGGACTGGCAGGCTGAATCCTTTCTGGATGAAAGATGAAAGATCGCCATCACAAGCTCTGATTTCAACCTGTGAGGTTGTCGCAGTACTTGATATCACGGATGTGGCATTTGTAGTTGTTTCAGGCAGAGCTCGGCGGAGTAGATGATCTCCGAAAGAAGGACTTCGAAATGATGCCTGTCACACTGCCAGGTCCACACAAGCACACGCCGTGCGTTGCGAGTGGCACATGTCAGAAAATTCAGAACTGGCAGAACACAGTGAGAGGGAAATCGACCACAGAAATAAGACTGAGAGAGACAGAGAGCAAAAGAGAAACAGAGAGAGAGAGAGAGAGAGAGAAAAAGATAGATAGATATACATGTATACATATGTACTATGCATGTGTACATGTAGTATAGACAGAATAAACCTAGACAGGTTGAACGAGATAAGGCAGAAAGGGAACGATACCCTAGTCTAGTGGACCCTTCGCTCCTACGATCCAGCAGACGCCGAGAGTCTCGGTATGCAGCTGTTGCTTTCCTTGAGACTGTTCAGGCCACAGCGGCCCGTTATGCACTGTTCTGAACGAGCACATTCGCGTTGCCTGCATGTTGCATACTCGGGACCTTCTCGTGGAGAAGATGGAAGGGTCAGGAAAGTCTTTCATGAGCCTATGCTGGCAACGAACTCAGCTAACGGTAATCGCGATGATGATGTGATGACAACGATGAGCAGGACGCAGAGGCATTGCTCGTTCTCGAGTGTCTATGAAGCTCCTTGCTCCTTGCAATCTTGCTCCAAATTTGTGTGTGTGGCTTGCCGAAGTGACAGCTCGTGACCAGGGCACTCCTTCTGGCGTGCTTTAGCTACTCCACCATTACCTGACACTGAATTCTGCAGCCAACGCCTGCCCGAAGAGCTCTGCTTGCTTCACCTGATGAAATGCTCACATGTGCATTGCGAGTTGAATGACCCAGCCATGCCAGCCCATCAAAAATGATGGTCGATTACAGCTGTGCCTGAAAGATAAAGACGGTCACGGAGACGAAGGACAGTAGAAGGAAAGTGCGCCCTGCAGTGACAAGAGTAGCGCTCAACATGTCGGAGGGAACTAGGATAAATCGTTTCAATGGAAATAACTACCCATTAGCAGTCGAAGGGGTGCCTCTGCTGCGGCAGCAACAGCTTAGCCATGCACCAAGCATTGATGGCCCCACATCGCCATTGGGAGCCGCGGACCAAAAAAGCTGGCGTGGATTGAAGAACGGCTCCGGCAGACAGCTTTCAGGTTCAGGCTTCACATGACAGCGGAGCCGCGCAGAGGCGTTCGACAAAGATTCAGCAGAATTGTTAAACTTTTTATTGGAAAGCGAGCGGGAACTGATCTGGCAACTCCTCGATGGCCTGCCACGGTCGTTCACAACAGTGCAAGGTCTTGAAACGGTAGCACGTTTTGGTCAGAGATGTTCCGACACAGAACTTAGAGTATCTTAGAGTGCTCAACGGCCCGAGAATGACGGAACGATCGAGACGAGTAGAACCGGTGGTATGGTCCAATTTGCCACGTAACAGGGGCAGGGGCCTGGAGCACATCCGCCACACGCCGAGCACTGTGCTTTAGCCTTTGCTGCTGTGCGTCCGAGGCAGCAGCCGCCGCCGAAGGCACCTGCATGCAGACGGGCCTATTCGACTAACAACTTGAATCCAAACCGAACAGAAATCTCGATCGTCCTCCAAGCGGACCAGCGCGATCACGATGCGCTGCAAGTTGGGCAGGTCAGCAGTGAACTCAGCAAAGTCCTCAGCTTGGTGCACGGATCAAGACGCCAAGCAGAATCTATCCAGTTGACCTTCGTCAGGGCTAGAAGCAGCATCTGGCAAAAAGAACGCATGCGAGCTGCGGCAGCGGGCAGCTGCAGCCCCTCGCCAAGGCAGACAACCCAGTCGAGATTCTGCTCCGCAGCCTGCAGATTTCAGGATACAGCTCCACCCGCCGCCACAGCGAGCAACATGCCTCCAGGGGAAGGTCCGCAGCCGAAGAAAGCTTCATGAACCTGACAGGCCACGATGAGTCTCGAGTCTCCAACGCGCATGCTCCCCGCCGGCCTGGTAAGCAATTCGCACCGAAGGGATGCACTCGGTAGCGGATCCGGTGCCTCTTTTGGTCTAAGAAGCATCCGCCAGTCAGAACGTTGTGGGAGCGAAGGCCGAAGGCGGAAGACCGTTCAAGGCCTGTTGCAGGAAGGCTCCGGGAGACGGCCAGCTCCTGCGACGGAACTTCCCCGAAAGGGCCTGCCAGCGGCGACGCCCGAAACGGCGACAGCGACCGCTTGCAGAGAGGCTTTAACCGCTTTAGGAGAGTCTCTCTCTCTGTCTCTGATCTGGGAGCAAACATAGGACCCATTCTCCACCTCGCGGCACAGCCACATCGGCAGAGCCTAGCATCCAGATGCACTCCATAGTTGCAATTTCGTGGAACCATGTGAAGCGATCGAGCAGCTTGCACAGCGTTCAGCATGGAACCGGAAGGCCCTTGATTTGAGTTTCCCGTGCGAACCTGATCTGCAGAAGCGAAGGTCTTTTTGACGGCGGCCTGCACAAGCAACATGATTCATGCCCCTGCGCCATGCTGTTTTGTTGGCACTTGCACGGACTCAGGCCAGTCTCACAACCCGGCCTCAAACTGACCGTCCACGAGCAGCGAAACGAGGTCTTCGTGACCTAAGCTCCCGTTCCACATGCTCCAGGGAGCAGAAATCCCGAGCGGTCAAAGCAATGCTGCACCTTGTCCGTCGGCCTTCCGTGCTGTCGTGAAAGAACCTGCGCTTGTTGAGAAGGCAGGACATGCCACAGCAGAACTGCTTCTTGCCGCGGCCTTAATTTCAAGCTGCTTTCGACGAGAAATAGCATCTGTTTCTGGTGCTCAGCTAGACGTCATGTAAGCTTCTCTTCTCAGCTAGGTCGGTGCCATTTATGGCCCTCCCTTTGACACGCATCCTGGAACCAACCTCAGACAACTGTCCCACTACAGCAAAATCCGCTCTGTCGTCTGGGGTACCAACCTGTCAAGCTGCTGCTGACTTTCTGCACCTGCAACAGTGTCGCCGCTAAGTCCGCTAAGTTCCATCTTGGGGGTGCTTCGCTTAGCCTGGCATCGGTAACAAAGGGATGGGTGTTCGTCTACCGCCAAGAAGCATGGCATAAGACCACAGCATCTACGTAGGCCACGAGGCATGCAACATGAAATGCTCGAATATCTTACCAGGGCGACGGCGCATTCAATGTAGCATTTGCGTGCAAATCCGTCCGATGTCTTTCTGAAATTCACGCTGTCTGGCTTACAAGTCATCATGGGGCCCGCCACTTCCAGAAGACGGAGACAGAGTACAGCGGTATGCCCGCCCATACACGAAAAGCACCAAAAGTCCCGAAAGAAAACATCGCAGGTGCGAAGCTGAAAATACGAACAGAATGTGCTGTACCGAATTGACATACAAGACTTTCATTTCTTTCTGGCGCTCTCAAGGCCATAGCTGTGCTTGTCGAGCAAGAAGGTGTGAGAGAGAGACTCAGAAGCTAAGCGACAATTGGGGCTTTTGACAATTGCTTGGGGCGTAGCTGCGGGCGTTAGAGATTCTCTGAATGTGAAGCTCCATTTTTCTGATCTGCAATGCCGAAGCATGCTGTGAGCTCTGTTGGGAGTCTTGAATAACTGCAATCTCGTGTCCGTCCGCCTCCTCTTCGAGAGTCTGCAGCCTGGCAGTCATGCGCCCCAAACGACACAGTGGTAGTGAGCCACTGCTGAACCGACGGAATCGTCATGCAAGAAGGAGGCGGTTCAAACGCGATCAAACCACCCGTGGCACGATTGCTAGCAATGAGAAAATTGTTGTGCACTTCCTCCTACAACAGACTAATCTCGACAAGGTCAGAATCTCAACAAACCCAGCCGGTGAACACAAGCTTTGCTGGAAGGCTTTCATACGTCTCCACCGTAGGAAACCCAAGACTGCACACATGCTGCTGTATCTGATGCAAGGGGAATGAACTCGTTTTTTGTGCACTCAGAGCATCAGCCTAGCTGGGTGTCGCAAGCCCCACACCGGACAAATACGACATGACGGCTGGCATGCTGCATGCACTGCAGCGCATGGAAACTGATGGCAGCAGAACCGATAGGACTGCAAGGACGGCAATGCAACCATGCCAGGACCGCGAGACTTCCAAGGGCGTGAAGCAGATGCGGAATCTCAGAGGATCAGACCGAAGCTAAGACTAATAAACAGCAGCATCCGGGACAAGAAGCTGCTTCAGGTGACGAGGAAACTCAGATTGCTGTAGCTGCTGAGTTTGCGCAGAGGGGGTGCTGTGGCTGAACATTTCTTTTGTGATCTGCAGGGCTTAGCAAACAAAAGCTCTGGGACTCAAGGCCACCTTTCTTTGCCGCATCATTTCACCGGGCGGTTGGATCACATATCTCCAAATCTCCAAAGGCGCGCACTTGCCAAGCAGATCGGTCAGGCTTGATGGAAAGGCCAGTGGAGCCTCAGGACTGAGAAGCTAGATGACGCTCCGCCGTGGCAGGAAAAAAGCGCCAGCTCCAAGTCCAACAGAGACTTGCTTTTTCGCTTTCCAGGCGCCTTCATGGACTCGGCGCTCGGCTGCAATGCCTTTTGCACCAACGTCCAGCAGTCTAGCACTGTGAACAGAGAGAAAAGCTGGTACAGCTAGTGATGAAGTGCCTTGGGCACCTCTTTCGCCAATTGCGCTGCTTCCACTGCAGGTACCACCCAGAGCCGGCGTGAGGCCTGGGGGGACACTGATAAAAATGCGGCAAGGTTGATTCGTACTCGTTTCCAAGAGGGTCCTCCACACAGCGGCCGTCGCTCTTCAGGGCAGCAGCAGCCTCCAAGAGAGCCTCCACGACTGCCTGTCCAGGACTCGCCCCGCCACAATTTCAGATGCTTCTTGGCCCGCAACCAAGAAGCGTAAACGCTTTCCGCCTCAGACAGGACCTCGCAGCCGCCCTGTATGGTGGCACCAAGCCTCAGTCATGCCGCACTCGGAAAAGCGACACCTGTCCGACGCGGCAGTGGGGCTCATCTGATGTTCTGGAACCAGTTCAGACATGTAGCAGTAGGACCGCCCCCGACCATACACTTTGCAGCCCAAAACTGGAAAACTGATACGGGAACACCAAGCATAGATCAAAAAGAAGGAATCACACCAGATGATAGCGCGGCTAGAGCAGGGCAGCTTCTTGGCTTCACTTAGGACTGGCTCCTTGATGGCGCCGACAGACTATGCACGGGGAAGGGCGGAGCGGCCCTCAAAGAGGAAGCTTCGCTAAGACTTCGGCTTCAAGTGTGGGAACTGAGGGAGGCGCACACGTGCGCAAAACACGCTGCAGATGCAACTATCTGCAAATGTCACTCTTGGGCGGGGACTGCTTCCTGCAAGCACGCTTCGTCTGAAGCGGAACCTCCGATTTCAGGAACGTTCCCAACCTCAGGCGTGTCCCGAAAAGTGGACATGTCAAGACGGGAAAGATATTTGAGACTGTGAATCGTATCACGAGGCCATCTAACCGTCACAACTCGCAAGTTGCTTGGGGTCCGGCAGTTTAGCGTGACCCTGAAGCTCAGCAGCCACTGCTTGCTCCAGCGCAGTGTCACCCTGCAAGGAGGCGCGGCAGAGACTTCAGTGATGCCCAGCAACTGCCCGGACCTGAACCGGGAAAGAAGCCAAGAAACGCTCGTTGAACAGCTGCCCATCCTTAACAAGCATGGCAAACTGCCTTCGACCTGCTGCAATCCATCCACATTACGAGATATTATTTGATGGGAACAGTAGACCGAGCACTCCAGCCACCACTGCGGAGTTGGCATCGAGCGAGCATGGTACTGCTTATCTCCCGGCTGTGCTGCACTGTCTCGGGATACTCTGAGCATGGAGCGCGAACGTCAGTCGTCCTCCTCTCCACCTTCACAAACATTCGTACAAGTAAATGTAGATGACGGTGGCCAAGAGGAGACAGCAGCGAGGCCGAGTGAAAGTTCGAGAATGCCTGCCTCCTCCACAGATGCATCCAACCATGATCTCACCTGCAATTGGGGGAGTGAGAATGATCTCAGCAGCGGCAGCGGCAGCGGCATCTCTCGAATCATTAAAGCCAACACCGCCACCACCTCTCATCATCAACATGACACTCACCCTCTCCAACAGCATCCTGATAGCAGTTGTCATGGCAAGCAGCACCAGCAACTACTTCTGCCTCCGAATGCCTCTTGCAACAACTCTCACACCATCCACAGTGGCTCCGTCATGAGGACTGCACCAGCTTCTCGACGCTTGAACTGGGAATTTGAACTCCTTAGCTGGCAGACCGACAAGGGCGACTGTCCCGAATTTTCATTGCAGGATCAGTCTGTGCCTAAAAATCCGCTTCTTCGGATTCTTCGGATCATCTAGACTGTTCTGCTGCAACTGGCAATGGCAGTATGTCAAACAATGCTTTGTGCCTCTTGTTTGGCTGATGACTGAGGCCCAGACAAGATCGATGGATCGTAGACTTATTATATGGACGAAACTGAGGCAGCCGCGTTCAACAGTCTGTGCCATTGATTGAAACCTAGGATTCTAGGATGGTCCGTGGCCACTGACCTGTCCATGCAATCTCGCGTGCAGCGGCTGAGAGACGGACTGGGACTGTCTCTGCCTTGCAGAAACACTCGCAGCTGTCTTTGAAAGGACGTCTGGTCAACGCTTGGAGCTACGCTGGATGTCTGCTTGGCGCCAGCTGCATACCTGGGTAGCCGGGTCGCGAGGTCACTGGACCAACCAGACCGGACCAGGGCTTCAAGGCTTCGCGACCCTCGGGCCTCCGCAGTCAGAGCCTCATCTGAGAGCTTGCTTTGGCCGCTGCACGAGGCGGCGACTGCCTGACACGTCGCTGTCTCTGTCGCAGAAGGTTGGTCCTTTGGTCGTTGGTGCTGAATGACTTTGCCAAACCAGGTTCTCTGACCCTTCGCGAAGCATGCTGCCACCACACCATGCCACCATTGCCACACCCTGGCCTCTCGACAGCTTTGGCCGAGATCTCCGAGCGAGAGCTCCCAGGATTTCCGGAAGCGTTGGCAGAGCTCTCGCGCCACGTCCTCCGTCAAACCTCTCTCATCGCATCCATCGCATTCATCGGCATTCAGAGGCATCCTTGCGAAACGCGTCGTTAAAGAGAGTGTGCTTCTGCGTGCATGGGTGCACGCATGTGTGTGTTGGCTGTGTGTGCGTGTGTGTCTGTCGTCTGATACTTCATATAGCTTGAAAACCAGATTTCGCACGACAGACCGGACAGCTTACTTCGACTGGTTCGCAGCCACCCTGCATGGATGTCAGAAACTGCACCTAGACCCAAAGCTCGACACAGCCTCTTAGAGCTTGTCACCAAGCCAACTGTTATTTCCGGCTTCCGGGCTGGCCAAAAGCTGCTGTTCTTGTCATCTGGTCTTGCTACCTGCTGCCTGCTGGCATTTGAGCCATTCAGCCTGCTAATAACTTGTCGTCAAGCAGGTGCTCAAGCAAACGGCGAAGTGTCCTCTCCACTTCACGGGACGGGTTAGATCCCTCTTTTCCAAATGTGCCTTGTGGCAGCCAACGTCCGGTTGGGGTTTGATGGCTTATCCTCTGCTGTGAAACGTTGGACAGACCAAAGACAACAAAGACAGGAGGAGGCGGCTACTGGGAAATCTGTGTGCAAGCGACGGGAGAGTGGGAGACATGGAGGAAGAGACAATCAGAGAGCGAGCGAGCGGAGAGGGAGAGAGAGAGAGAGAGAGGAAAAAGAGACATTGCAAACACACACGGACTGGAACAGAGACGATGTGCAGTAGCTGGGTCTCGAGAATGCTCACCTGGCACAACGTCTCAACGCGCTAGTCGACCTACCTCGTCGAGTACAGCAATCTTCTACGTTTGATCGACCTCCTACAAAAGCTTGCATCTTCAAGCTGATCAGACATCCTTGTGCCGGAAGATCCCCATTAATGCATGGGGATGCATAGACATGCTCCTTCCCAGCCGACATCTCTCGCTAAGAACCCAGGGCCCATTGGACACTGACGAACAACAAGAATTTCGCGTCCGAACCTAACTAATTATGCAAACTGAAAATCTCCGAGTACAACAATCCTTTGGCAAAGGTTCTCGCACAATCAGACCCTGATTCGTGAGACTCTGGTCTGTGTTTCTTGTGAAACAGGTGATGAGCAGGCAAACATCAGGCACCCTGTTTCATACTCCAAGGTTCGACTATTTGCATTAGAAACGTAGGGTCGCCGTTCATGTTGCCTACTCTTGTGCGAAGCACGAGGAACGTCGCCGATCTACGAAGACGTACTCGTTGCTGGCAGGGAGGCCAGTTGAGTCGGTTGTTGCAGAAGTTTAAAACAGTGACAGTGGCATCACGAGCACTGCAGTCAAAAGGGCATTTCTGGGATCACAACAAGAGACCTAACTTGACACAGGGCTAGGTCTAGGTAGCTGTCTTCACGAGAAAGGTTGCAGATTGGCCTAACCTGATGCCATCTGCCAAAGTAGCAAAGCAAATCACTTCCATCACCCCCGCACGAACCAATTCATGGTCCGCTTCCGGGCCAGCGTCCGGGCCATGTCTTCGGGATCCTCGGAAGAAGCCAAAGCTTCAGAGAGCTTTCGGCAAGCAACTTTGCTGAGAGCAGAGAAGGAAAGCTCAGCTGTCACACCATTTGTTCCGCCTGGCCCTGTCCCGAAGCCGCCTGAGACAAGAAAACCCAGTGCCACAAGCGTCTCGGAGCCAAGCCAAATCCACAAGCATCAAAGTTTGGCTGCACGCCTGTCTGCTCTGGCTCTCCGTGCTTGTAGCACTTGACTGTGCCGCTGCCATTTGCTTGGCCTCTACCTCGCAAGGTTCATGCTTGTGATCCTCGGCCTGTTTCGACTGTTCTCTCCCAATCCGGCTTTGCAGGCCATGGGACTTGACTTACAGACATGTCAAGAATCTGTGCTTATCGGGAACCGGGAACAGGCCTGTTGGTAGTACCCCTCGGCTGCCAACAGTCCAGAGGCTACTGGCTCCATGCCGGACCTTGCAGACAAACAGGCTGAAGTTGGAATCACAGCAGACAGCATGTCACACACAATTCGGGGATTACATCTCCACTATGTTTTATCTGCATAGCCAGATTGAAAAACTTCACGCAAGGCTAAACTACCCAATTTCGGAACGAAAAAGGCTGGCTCGAAGACCAGGGATTGGACTCATCAGTCGTGCCTGCAGCGGCTTTGGAATACAAGAAGGAATTATATGCATTCAGGACAAGGACAGGACCCAGCCTTTGACGATCAAAAGCTCGAGAGAACCGCAAGTCATGCAGGTCTTGAGCATGTTTGGCACGTCTTTGGAGATACCATTTACCGCCTCAATCAGAAAAATCTGTATGCTCTGGTATGCTCTTGAACACCGCCAAGCAAGAAGCAGGTCGCTGGGCCCCACACCACGATGCAATCGCCACTCCTGCGATGAACGCTTGCGGCAGCAAACTGTGACATGTCGCAAAGAACTGGCTTCTTATTATGATCAAGGCCGTGCGTTTGCTGCCGAGTTGATGCAGCTGCAGTCCTTACGATCCTCATCGGGTTCTCCTCATTCCATTGCCCGGCCAGACCGCCATTTACTTCCACGATTGGTATCGCTGTCGCTTCCTGCCGCAGATCGGGAGAAACTATGCACATAAACAAGCGTCAGGACTGTGCCCAGAAGTCCGGCAAGTTAAGTCGCTGCTTCAAGACGCCACAGCTTCCACACGTCAGGGAACAAATGCTGCACCAAATTGGCAGTGCAAGCGCGGCACCTCAGCATAGTCTATGTCCAAACCCAGCTTGGCCGTTTTTTCCTGCCAGGTCATACATGGCAAAGCGAACTGCAAGTCACGGCACTGCCCATGGAGATTCCCTGTGCAAAGAAAGAACACCGCGCCTTGCCAGGAAGCTTTTTTAAGTTCACTGTCAGCGTTTGCACTTTGCTGGGTACGTCTTGTACCCAGGTTCTTGCCTTAGTACTTCGAAGCTGTGCTTTCTGAGGGCAAGAGCTTGCGACCAGAACCTGGACGCCGCCAAGCAGCTCTGAGCTTTTTCCGTTCCAAATTAGCTTCTTTGGACTCGTTGGAGGGCTCCGGCTCCTGCACAGTCTGCCGAGAAGCATCAGACTGCCAAAGCATCCGTGCTCGCCCCACTACATGTCTGTGAACAGGAATCGCCTGAAACACAACTTGCCATTAAATGCAAACGAGCTGTCACATGGATTCGAGTCTCACTAGAGCCCCCACGTCTCACTTCAAACACAAATGCTCATGTATGTGTATTTTTCACAAAGACATTCACAATGATATTCGTGCTCATATGTATGCTCATATTCACCTTCATCTTCATGGGTAGAGTTGTGTTCACATGTCACAGGTATGCTTCTATGGATGTATATTCATGCACATGGCTACATGTATACATATACTGCGACAACCATATCACTACAGCCAGAACAATATGCACATTCATTCCCGCTTCGTATATACAAAATTATGTAGTCACATGTATGTATGCATGCATGCATGTATGTATTTATGTATGTGCATACATTTATGCTTTAGTTAGCGGGTTGCGGGTTGAGATATTAATACATATCTGTACACATACATAAACATGTACATGTACATACAGACTAATGGATTAATTACACAACTGAATAATTAGTTGTATAAGAAGTTAACTGATTACTCAGTTGACTGATTAGGGATTTAGCCAGTTAGTTATCGATTAGTTCCTTCTTACATACATTCATTCATTAGTTCACCAGCTAATGAAAAAGTTAAGTAATTCTTTAACTAATTAACTAGTTCAGTCAGTTAACTAAGAAACTTACTAATTAGTGAGTCGGTTAAATCATCAGTTAACCGAGAATATGTATTTAAAAATCTGCCACCATGTTTATGTGCGTGCTTAGATTTATTTGTGCACTCTATATACATATTCACATAATGTATGTATGTACTTTTGTCTGTGTCTATCTATACATCCACCAACCTATGTACGTAAGTGCGTATGCATGTATGTATGCATGTATGCATGTATGTATGTAATTACACATATTATTGAACCATCCATACATATACATATATATATATATATGTGCGGCATATATTCATATACACGGCATATGTATGTGTTGTATGCATGTGTAAACACCTACAAATATATGTGTATGTATATATATATATGTTACATATATATATATATATATATATATATATACTTATATGTACAGATGTATGCTTATTTTTAACTTGTTTATAAACATACATATACATATATATATATATATATACATGTATATATGTATGCATGCATATTCGTGCATATTTGCATGCACATGTCCGTGTGCATGCGCGATCTTGCCGAATCTCGAAACATCCGATTTCCTCCCATGCACTGCCACCTGGCCTTCGGCGCCTTTGGAGTGGCGGGAAGCAAGGGCGGATCCTCTACCGGCTTCACTTCTCCCCGGCCGTCGTCTTCATCCTCTTTACCTTCCAAAAGCATCATGTACAGAATCACGGGTTCGCATGAACCCATGGATGGCCCGTGTACTGAAAGACGACACAAACGTCACATCTGCAGCCCTCATACGTCTCCTCTCGGGCTACACTTCCAAAAACACGATAAACAAAGAAGCTTGAGCTATACGACAGATGCAGCTACAAAGAAAGGATGCATCCCGCACGAAGGCCTGCATGATCTCCAGAGCAGCATTGGGATCGTGCACCATAATTTCCCATGATGCGGTGCTGAGCTGGTAGTGTCTTCAGCGACTTGTACTGACTGGGTACTTGCAAGGTCTTCGGTCTTCTTTGCATAGCTGGCTGTGTTGACGAAAAAAACTCGGCAGGGTAGGTTGTCTGAGTGAGAAGTATTCAGATTGGGACAATCAGCCCAGCACCGGCTGCGTCTGATTAGTTTACACAGGCACGCAGCTTTTGCTGGGCCTGCGTTGTGCCAACGTCATGGCACGCAGTAGGTTTTGAGCCTGATGCGAGACAACCAACAACATGAAGTTCCGCACGTGGGACCGACAGGGCACTTAAAATTTGCAGCAAAGCCCATGGAATCTCTCGCAGTCGTGCTGACAAACCCCTGCTTGAGATTGTGGCACGCACAAGCCTGCGAAGGCTCTTCGTTTGCTGAAACTGCGAAATGAATATGATCACACACTGCGCTGCTTTTGAGCACGAGATGACATGACGATTCGACTTTTTCTCAGGCATGGCTTGTAATGTATTTAATACATAGTTTAGGCAGGGATCACGTTCCTGTGAACGTCTCGAAAGCACGAATGGTGTGTTCGCTTTGCAAGCCAGATCTCAAGCAAAAATGCAAGTAAATCTTCCAGAAACATGGCTTATGCGAATGACTCCTAGAGTTTTATAATGAACAACAACTGTTTGAAAATGTCGCGAGCAGAACGAATGGTGCAAGTGTTTGGAATGATAAGGGTGAGCAGAACCATACACATACAACACGGATGGCCAAGTTGAACCGCTTTCGAACACACAGCAATACCGCAGCAAGATTCTGAATGTCTACTATATAGTAGGGCTACTGTCCACAAGCCTTGGAGACCTGCAGCACGAGTCGGTTTTCACGACCAGTCATGCTACTGTCCAAATGCGTTTTGACACGATCTGTTTTCGTGTCATCTCCTCGACAAAGCAATCTCCTCTCAATCCGTTCAGCTTCGGGGCAAGTCTGGCAAAACTCAACGTTGTGCGAGGTCCGAACAGCCGAAAACAACAACAACATCACCCGCTGCTGGAACAGCAGGACGATCTTTAGGAGTCAACAAGTTCAAGCCAAGTCAGGCTAAGAGGCAACACTTCATGATTCTGATCCGCGGCCAAAGGTTACAGCGGGGCTTTGTTGGTCTTGGCGCGTCAAGAGTCGGACCCAACACCTGGTTAACGTGCATTCAGCGACGATGGAGAGTGACAGAGTAGACACCGATCGTCATCGAAGGCCTATCCAAGCGAGGGGTGGAGCCAAGACCAAGTACCGAGATTTTACCCTCGCCAAAAAGCTCCTAATTGGCGTGTCGCCACTGGTGTTGCGTGGACCAATTCTGACCAACCACATTTTCGTTTTGACTGAATTAGAACCACAAGTGAAAACTCACGGCAGCGTCTGCGCTCTGCATGGCAATACCACGCGGCGGGAACGTGAAACTGTCGGAGAACTATTTAACACTCGATGACAGAGCATCTGACACGCCTAACGCTTTTAAAAGCGTACTCATCAACGAAAAGCAGAAGCCACGCTTGCAGGCACACCACACAAGCTTTTCCTGCATCTCTAAGTACATTCCAAGATTTGCAGAGTTGCAGAAGAGAAATGCATACGATTGAAAAGATGCAGACATTCCGAACATGTGAGGAACATAGGTTCGGAGATGCAGCAAGATGCGACTTCTCGTTGAAAGAAATGGAACCTTAGATCCAACAGAGCAGGCTGCTGCAAACTTAACTCCTCACAGGATTATCGTATGTGTTGATCGATTCTGAGCAAACACCTCGTAAACTGTCACATGAACGACAAGAGCACTTGATGGTTACCGCTAGCTGCTGCTTTCACTTCGTGGCACCGGCCTTTCGAACACAAGGTCTTGGCAGCATTAGCACTCTCGCCAGCCGCTTTACCAAGACCACATGTTCCCAGTGGAACAAGTTTACCGATGGTCTTTCCATCGAGAAAAGCCATGTTGACATGCAGACTCTCGCCGACTTTCTCAATAAGAAGAAGCACGACATCGCTTTAAATGCTGAAACGAACAAAAGAAATCAAACTGTGTCATCGGAAATAAAATCAAAACAAAAACCTTTTCCAACATGAAGGAAGGAGAAGCCGCACGACATCGACAATAAAATGAAACACAGGAACTGAAAAAACACACACACACATAACAATAAGTTCCGGCTCCAATTTGTCCCCTCTGCTTGTGGCCGAAAAGAAATCAAAGTCTTTCACTCGCGGACGTCCAGCAAAAAAGAGAAAACACCATGCAATCTGGAAAACATCTTGCATCCCCAGCCGCTTGTTCCAAAGCAGCTGAAAAACATGCAAAAAAAGTTCTTCAGAACGCTGGACTCTTAACATAGCAAAGCCAAAAAGTCAGAGTACAGAGCTCGGATTCGTTGACAACCTAGAAGGCCTACAGCCCTTCACGTTCAAGTGAAAACCTGCAACCTAGCAAAGCAAGCTCACAAAACACTCGCATAGTTCACACTTTCAGCACGCGTCACTGCTTGAACAGGTCTTGAGCCAAACGACAGACAGAAGTCGTGGCACCTCTTAAAAGCTTTTAAAACAAAAGAAAACAAGTGAAGCACAGCCGAAACTGTCAAGCACTGCTCAAACTACGTTATGAAAAACTTCGGGTTTGGGAAAGCAGGTTTGAAGGTTGGAATACAAAGACAGAAAAACGCGTTTCTTGTTCGCTGCCGGTGCGCGCTCATTTCTTCAGTTAAAATAGGCTGGACGCTCCGATCGATGACGGTCACTCTGGATTCAGAAAGAGAGATGATATACCGAGAAGACAAGTCGGAGAGAGTCAAAAGCACAGAGTCACAGAGTCACAGATTCACTGTGTCACAGAGTCATAGAGTCATGGTAACCTGGGTTTAAATCTGGGTTTTTAAATTTGGGTTTAAACCCAGGGAAACCTGGGTTCAAACCTGGGTTATAACCTGGGTTTAAACCTGGGTTTAACCGGGGTTAAACCCAGGTTCGAACCCAGGTTTAACCCAGGTTTAAAACCCAGGTTCAAACCCAGGTTAAACCCAGGTTTCAAACCTGGGTTCCCTGAGTTGTTGTTGTTGTTCCCCCCCCCCGGGCGGAGGGAACCCAGGTTCAAACCCAGGTTCAAACCTGGGTTAAACCCCGGGGGGGAGGGGACCAGCCTCGCTTTCTGAGATGCGAGGGTGGGTCAGTTGTTCGTGACGAGGGACTCTGTCTTGTCGCGTGGCAACGGTCGGGTGTCACAGATGCAGTGCAGTCTGCAGTGCAGAGGGACTCTTTCTTTTCGTTTTGCAAAACTTTCCCCACCACCTGCTTCAAAGCCGCTGCCCGACACTCGGAGACTTCTACACCGTCACTACAAGCCAAAGGATTTTTTGGCGTGGGCGGGCCTCACAGACAGCAGTTGCTGCACTCGGTCCCAGTAAGAACTACAAGAACACCAAGAAGACAATAAATAGCTGTACAGAAGAATCCTATCGGGTGAAACAGGCCGCGACTTGCAGACTTAGCCAGCAGGGATCGTTCGGCCTTTCAGGGGTAGCTTCTCTCAGTTGTCCTTTTCCCGAACGAGCAGCTTGAAACATGCATCCATCAACCAGCTCGCTTCATGGTAGATGTGTAACGAAGGAGCGGCCCAGCTTCACAGTAGCGTGAGTCTCGCAAGGGCTAGCAGCGAAGAAGAAAAGCGCGCTGCTGCCATGTGCCCTTTATTTGGTTATGTTTTCAAGCCAGGTGCAGACTGATGGTTTTGGCTCCACATTCGTGGCCGATGTACAAAGATGGCAAAAGCTAAAGTTGTCCTGCACGAGGTTTCCGGCATACTCCTGCAAGTGAAAATTTCCAGCAAGCAAAAAGGCAACTGATGCCATTCCCCCACACCAGAAGGGCGGGCGGGTGGGACAAAAATTTTCTCACGCCTGCAAGCAAAACTGCGAATACCAAGACAAGCATGGTAAAGCAATCGTGAGAAAACAGCAAGTCATGCAGTCGATCCAGCAAGGCATGACAAGGGAAAGTGCGCATAAAAATTGTAAACAATTTTTCCAAACATGAAAACAATCTTATTTCCAAGTCCACAAACGCATGAACAAATTCGTCGTTATTTGGGAATATCAATCAAATATATTTCATATGAAATGTTCAATCAGACATGTGAGACTGCAATGCATTCACTCGGACCCCTCCTTCATTTTATCGGATAAGCTCGAAGTGCAATGGGGAAAGTCGAAAGTCAAATCGGCTGTCTGTCCCAAGGTCAAGCCTCCAAGGCTCGGCCAAGGGCCACGACTCCTAAAGCACACGTTTCAAGTGCACCCGAACTTCCCCCAGGGTGGGCGGGCGGGACAAAAATTTGCACTCATGTGCTTGAAGGAGCGTGCGCGGGAGACATGTTAGCAACTGATCATCAAAGAATAAAGTTCATGAAAAACTCAATCGTTAAAAATCAGGTTCAAAAGAGTTTCCCAAAAACCGCCCGAAGTGTTCATGCACGATCGTTTCTCAACGAGACAACAATCGTTGTGAAATTGGAAATAAAGTGAAAATCACAAGTGATGTGGTCACTTATTTCCAAGTCCACAAACGCATGAACAAATTCGTCGTTATTTGGGAATATCAATCAAATATATTTCATATGAAATGTTCAATCAGACATGTGAGACTGCAATGCATTCACTCGGACCCCTCCTTCATTTTATCGGATAAGCTCGAAGTGCAATGGGGAAAGTCGAAAGTCAAATCGGCTGTCTGTCCCAAGGTCAAGCCTCCAAGGCTCGGCCAAGGGCCACGACTCCTAAAGCACACGTTTCAAGTGCACCCGAACTTCCCCCATCGAAGTGCACTTCAGCCCGTATCCGGAGGCCTTTCAAGCAGCAGACAGCCCAAATCGACATCGTCCTGCCTTGCGCCTTGTCTGATCAGATGGTCCACGATCTGTCGGCTAGGCGGGTCTGCCGGGTTCGAGTGGGTAGGCACACGCCCAAACCACGGCCTAGCCATATTGTCATGTTCCAGCGATAAGACCTGCTGTAAGAGCCGTCGTCCGTTTCGAGTCCCAGAGCGGCCAGCAATCAAAGCGGATTGCGCAGCTTCGTTGTATAAGTAGAAGGTGCTGAAGGTATCTCTCAACACTTCCGCCCATAGCATGAACGCCACAAGGACCGCGTAGAGTTCGACTTCATAGATTGGATGCTCGGATTCAGCCTCCAGCAATTCCAAATCAGACTTAGGGATCTCCGAGCTGAAGAAAGCCAACGGGACGCCAGAGGCATCGTAAATGATTCCTCCGATGCCGGCCACAACCCCAGCGCCAGGTTCATAAGATCCATCAGTAAAAATGAAGAGCTCTCTCCCGGAAGTCTGCCTCAACTCCAAGGGTCTCGAGGTACTGACGTGTTGGAGCAGTGTCCTCACCGCCCATTCCAGATCAGCGCTCAGTTCCGATGAACCATCGATTCCCCTGGCTCTCAAGGAAAGTTGGTGCATAGCTTCGCACGGTGCCCGTCCGAACAAGTAAGAAGAATACCAATGCATGCGCCCGCGGAGGACTTCAGCCTCCTTGGGGCTAAGTCTTCCCGTCTGCAAGATGTTCGCGAGAACGTCGTTCAACTCCTTCTTTCGATCGCTGGTATGTGTGATGGAGATGACTCCGCTCTCGAATCCCGACAGGTCGAAGGCCAAGCCAAGCGCATTAAAAACCGCATCAAACTTTGTTGCCTTTTTGCCCTCTTTTGCATACTGAATCCCAAGAGCCTCGAAAACTTCGTCGGCGAATTCTTCGGTCTGTTCCTCCATTCCATCACAAGATAGCAATGGAAAATCATCGAAGTATGCGCACCAGCCCAAGCCCATGTCCCGGACGCCAGTGTGCCAGACGGCGGCTGACACCCTAAGGAAGCCAGCCACACTTCCGGTGGCACCGAAAGGTAGGACATTAGTCCCATAGATCCGCGCCCTCTTGCTGTCCGTGTCGAACACACCAATCCTCAAGTGTTGTCTGTCAAGAGGATGTACGGGGTAGAACTTGTAAGCGGAGACGAGATCTATTGTTTTCCCAACCAATTTGAACAAGCGGTCACGTGGCATATTCAACAACTCAAGGAAGACAGCCGCCAGAACGTCGACCCCGTGCAGGGTGAACTTCTCTGGCAGCCCGCAAGCCATGTTCAAGCCGCAATCCTTGCCGTTGTCAATCACCCGTACTTTGTTTTTCTGCTCAAGCCCGAAGCGGTGCGCCAGAATGATGTTGCTGAAGTCAGGGGCGGTGTCCTCGAAGATCCAGCCCTTGCGCTCCTCCTCTTGGGTTTCAGCCCACGCCTTCCTAGACGTCTCGTCCGGCTTCGTGTTTGTTATCCGGCTCATAGTCATGGGAGATCGGTAAGACGATTGTGCTAGCAGACTTTCAAGGGAGGATTCCGGTGCTTTGACTCTAGGCTTGAAGATTCCGGTCTCTCTCATCCATCCTGTCAAGCGGAAGCCATCCCGCAAGTCAGCCCAAAGCATCTGGTCAGGGAAACCATTTCGCTCAAGAATGCGCTGCCAAGCAATGACGTTCTTGCCAGCCAGCGCCTTCGCCAAGTACGCGGGCTTTTGTTTCATAAGCGCGTCGTTGGTCTCAGCCGACTCCTTGGAAATTTTCTTCCACGCATCCCGAGCCTCATCGGCCCTTTTCTTGCGCTCCTCTGCTGGCATAACTACGTTGGCAGCGATTTCCTTTGCCGGACCTTGGCGATTGACCAGTATTGCATTGCGAGGGTGCCCCGCTTGGACCGCAGCCTTCACAAAGTCTTCCGGTTCACGTGGAATTCCAATAGTAAGAATTTCTGCCTGGGTCGCACAAGGATTGTCATCGCACACCATTCCCACCACCTCGTACACGTCGTTTTTATCCTCGCTTACAAGCAAAGAGAAATCGGAAGTGTCAGGTTGATAGATCTTGGCCGTCCCTCCCAGCAACTCTGCAGAACTATGTCTGTCGAAGCCAGGATATTTCGAGGCAGCGCAAACCCGGACTGCTCCCCACGGCACCAGTTTGCGTTGCGTCACACGAGCACCTTTGGGGTAGCACTTCAAAAGAGGTGCCGCAGCATCCGCGGAGCGTACAGGTACAGCCCAGCAGTCGTGTGATTGGTAGCATGAAACCAAAGGTCGAGCATATTTTGGCTGTCGCTGCAGTGCGACTTGCTCACAGGCTCGCGGCTGCTGTGAAGTTGAAGCCAATGCAGGAAAACCCGCAGCCAGAATGTAAAGCATCCGTTCGCAAAGAAGCCAAGGGTATGCCGCCTCCGCAGCGGTGGGGAATTGCCAATGCCCATCCACAAAGCGAGGCTTCCAGGATGCGTGTTTGTGGTCACGGGAACAACGCAATGCCAGCGCCTGAAAGCGTGGGTCGGAGCACCAGAATAAGGTAGTTTTGTCGCGATCCCCGCCATGCATGCAAGCATCAAAGATGAGTTGGTAGCCATCTTCACGGCGACAAAGGTGGTCGAGGCCGTCACATAGCCAAGCCAAGCTGTTGAGAGGGTTCTCAACGGTCGCGAAAAGACCAAGCTGCAGGGCGAGGTCAACGATGCAGCCGACAGCTCGGTACAACTTGTTGGCAGCGAGTACACGATCGCGGTCGGCACCGGTCAGTGTGGAGAGGCCCTGCGGCTCCGTGACACTGCGTAGTGGTTGAGGCACAGGGCAGCCGTAGTGTTCAGCCTTATGTAAAGGCCTGGATCGTGCCGCCGAGGCCGTACCACAAGGAGGTGCCAAATGGATCCAAGCAATGTTGTCAGCCTCCAGATTGATGATGTCAAGCAGCGTTTGCAAGTCGGCATCCAACGTAAGGTCCAGTCGTTGTATAGAGAAATTGGTTCTTTGCGAGGAGCGGTCCACCGCCAAAGTACGAAAGCCCATGCGCCCAGCAACAGTGCTGAGGCGGGCGGTGCCAGCAAAGATTTCGATAACAAGTGGAGCCAGGTTGTTCGGGAAGATCTTCTCAGCCAATACATCAGCATGTTGGTCGTCCGGTGTAGTTGGCGGCATAGATTTAGACGACGTTGCTGTAGAATGCACTGGCAAGGCAGGCCGATATGCAACGCGGCGGCGCTTGGCGATGGGAGCTGAGGCCTGTGGCGGCGGCGTCGTAGAGGTAGACAAAGAGGACCCACCGGGCGAAGAAGTCGTTGAAGTGACCTGGCGAGGAGCGGCCGTATGATCTTGGGGAGGGCCGGGCAGTGGAAAACCAGAGTCCCGCAGCCAGTGGCAGTCCCGTTCACAGAGTCGTTGTGTATCACGAACGCAGAAACCCACCACGAGCAGGCGGTCCCCTGTCCAGGGGCATGTACTGTGAAGACGCTCTGAGGGCAGCCGTTGCGGGCCAGAAGCCACATCAAGCAGGTAACCAAGGCGTTTGGCGGAGAGGTCAGGACACGGATGCTTCCCGCGACCTTCCACCCAAACCTGACCATCGGAAAAATGCGAGGCTGGCAGCAACAGGTTGGCGTGTCGATGATCATTGTTGCGATCCGAATGAAGCGGCGCCTTCAAGTTGAAGAATAGGCCCACTGAAGAAAAACAGGCATCAGGAAACTCAGCCGACAATATGCGTGCAAGCAGTTGTGTGGAAAAAGGAAATGCAAAACAATTGGATCGAAGCCCGTTCTTGTCGTGGTGCACGTAGGCTCCAGAAGTAAAAGATTTGGGATCCGCGGGAGCAACAGGTTGGCCTGAAGGTGCCCCCACAGAGTCCGCTGGCAGGCGAGCACTGAGCTCGCGAAGCTGTGCAAAACTTGCAAAGCCAAGATTCAGGCACTGGGCGGCCAGCGATTCAGCAGAAGAAAGGTCCTGTGCTGTCACCGGCACCGGAGAAAAAGTGTATCCCAGCCCGTCGTCATTCTGGCCAGTGATCCTTCCAGCCTCAACCTGGCCGGGGGTTGCAACGACTAGTCACTCCTTGGTTTTGCCTTTACCAGTGCCCTTCCAAGTACGAGCACGGCAATTGCGAAAGGAGTGACCAGCCCTACGACAGAAGGCACACACATGAACTCCATGCTGGCACGCTGGGGGATCGCCGTCAGTCTTGAGCTTGCAGCCGCCGCAGTTGTGATCCCAACAAATGAGCTTGCCATCTTCGGTTTTCTGGTGCGTGCCCTTCAACTCAGCAGGCATGGCACGTGCCCCTTTTGGGGTCGAAGTCGGCTTTCCAGGCGGCGTGGCATTCCGTGCCGCCGCCGCCTTCAAGCGCCTCCGACGTTTTGCCGAGCGAGACAAACCCTCGCCGTCCTTTGGTGGGGACGGGACATCCAGAGGCATCTTGACGTCGGGCTGCCGGCCCCAAGTAGGCATAAGATACATGGTGATTCGTGGGTCGGTGCGGAGGGCCTCGAGTGCAACACCAAGTGGAAACTCACCGGCGGCTGTAACCTTGAGACTCGGCACCTCCGATGCAAGAATGAGCCATGCCTCCCGGTCGGCTTGCACAATCCGGTTCATATCCGGCTTGTGGAACCCTGAAGGGCACTCGCGCGTGAGTGCGTGGAGGAGGCAATGCACCCACCTCTCATGTTGTTGCCAAGACATTAAGCGAGCTTGATCAAGTGCAAGGCCTCTCCTTTGAAGACACCACTGTAGCCGTATGGGAGAGTCGAAGCAGGCCACATCATCAGGGCCCTCGTTTCCGACTTTCAAGCTGTTATCCTCCAGCTTAAACACCTTGGTTTGATCGCGGGTCGAGAGTTGGATCTCGCTTTCGCGACTCGTGCAGCGGCCTGGGCTGATCCATGTCACCCCGACCTCGATCATATGGAAGCACAAATCCACCAAGGCATAAGATGGAACAGAGTCCCTCTCTATGTGGACCCCCGCCAAGCGGCGTTTCTGATCGGCCGCTCGAGCCGCTTTTTCAGCCAGGGGGAGTTTCTTAGGGGTCTCAGAAGCATCGCCCTGAACATTCTGGCGTAACTGTGCGATCACAAAGGTGCATGATTCGAAGATGAGTCGCTTCAAGAGCGAGACGTCGCCCAAGCGAGGTGCAGCTCCGAGAATCCTAGTACTGAACGCATCCAGCTCGGTCTGCGTAGGGCGATCCTGAGGTGTGCCGCATGCATAAGCCAGACTAGCGAAGGTCGTGACACCATTGTCACGCAAAGCTGTGTGAATGGTTCCCGCATTCACCTCCTGGCATCGCTGGGTGAAGGCAGCTTCTGAATCCACTAGCGACATGATGCCCTGTGTCTGAGTCACAAAACACTCAAGCGGAGAGGCTTCCACGACAGTAGCACCGGCAGTGCAAGCATGCACACACGAAGAGTACTTGAGTCTTTCGGAGAGGCACGTTTCACAGATCTGCCGCGAACTTCTTGCAGTTCCGGCAAACTGAAGAGTCAAATCGAATTTTGATTGGTGGCTTGTATGTGTCACCAACCATGCGGCCGCACAGCAAAACCTTCCGATTTTGATCGGAAATCAAGTGCAAAAGCCGAGTCCGCTTGTGTTGCAGGAAAGATGTGCCTAGGGCGGGCTTCGGTACACCCACCTTGCGCTCAGGTTCGTGACTGATCCTTGAAGACGAAGAAGACGACTCATCTGAACAGCTTGAACTGGAAGAGTCCGTCTCGGAGGCATTCCCATTAGGTTCCTCGATCAAGTTGTCCCACGGGTGTACCGGCAAATCGCCAATGTCGGGCGCCTCCGGCTCCTCGTTGGCGGCAGCATGCTCTGGGCTTGGAGGAGAGATGCCCAAGTCCCTCCAATCATCGTCAGTGAGCCGCTCAGGGGGCGGAAGGTCCCACGAAGCCGCATCTTGCTCGGTTAAGCTGTCCTTGCTATTGCCAGATTGATCAGCAGGGCAGTTACCATCTGTGGCCTCGGACCCCGCGTCAGCTGCGAAGGCACCTGCGGCTGCAGGGTCGCGGACCTCCATCCTATCCGCCGTCAGCCGGCGTTCACGCAGGCCGGCACCGAAGATGTACCCCGCACGTCCAGCGTCCGGGTCGAAGACACCTTCGCGGATTTCCTCCAAGAGCGCCAGGAGCAACCTTAGTGGCCGCGCCAGCTCGTCATCACCATAAGTGTCGGCCATCTTTGCCGAGTTGGCGTGACCACCCATGGTTAGCCGATCAAGGTGCTCAACGCCACGCTTTGCAGCCATGGTCAAGAAGGTGCGCTTCATGAGGTGTCCTGTTGTGTTCTTGCTATTGTCGCGCCCCAAGACCTTCTGGATCCAAGCAGTGATCTCTTTAGAAGAGACCGAACACCCCATGGCCTCGCCAGCAGCATTGGGCGTAGGCAGCGGCGGCAAGAATGTAAACAGTCCGACCTCCGCACGAGCCTGTTTCCACAAGTGCAGCCAGTTGTCACTGAGAATCCCAACTCCAGGAGCGATGAACCTAACAGGCTCGCCAGCAAAGTACTTGGAATTCACTGTCTTATACACCTCAACAGTGTACACCAAGAAAATGATGTCCCCCTGGCCGTTCGTCTCGATATCAAAGCTGACTGCATGTTGGAAGTCCCCCCAACGCGATCTCATGTAAGTGCAACAGAGAACTGCTCCTGCGAAGGTGCGGTCCCAAGCTGGAACATCCTTGTCCGCAAGCAAATGGTGAAGCTTCTTCAATTCCAGAATGGAAAACGGATGAGCCCTCTTCTTGCCACGCTTCACAGTTCCCCTCTGCGACGCCCCCAGACAGCGACGACTTTCGATCACCCGGTCTAGCTGGGGAACCATGAAAACATGCCGCACGAAGATTATAGCTTCTCGCAGAGCTTTCAGCTGTGATGGTTTCGCCCCACCGGCCTTAGCATCTGACATGTATCGGTACACATCTTGCTCGCGATAAGGAAAAGTCCCGTCGCCCCAGCCAACAACCTTGTGATATCCCATAATAGAATTGGCTCTCTTCAACAAAGTGCTCGGCGCCTTGGGATGCAGCCAATCCTGGACCACGTTGATCCTTTGATCTTTCTCGGTGCATTCATCCAGGCTTTGGCATACCAACAAATCAGGACACGTCTCAGACCACTTCACAATGATGAAAATCCATCTAGCAATAGCCTTGTCAGAATCCTGTTGCCGTTGATCCTCCCAGCTCAATCCTTCAGTCTTGCGAACAACAGTAAAGCAAATGCCTTGCGAGAAATCAGCATCCAATACCTTGCGTTTTTTCTCGGCTGGAAGCAGAGTTTCCTCGTCGCCATGATCCCACCCCGGTGGGTCCGGCAGATCGAACCTGTCCTTCCAAGACAAAGGATCCTCCCCTTCGAAGATCTGCTTGAACACTCCAGACTCCCACGGAAGCAGCTTATCCCTAGGAGTGGCTTCCGAGCATGAGTCAACGGCAGAAGCAAGCAGAGTCTTGAAGTCGAAATGAGACATGAGCGCTCCCGTATCGCACCCACAGCAAGAGCGCGACACAAGAGGGCGACCCCAGGTCACGGAGCCACACTATCCAGCGGGCCGAGGACTCTGTGTCGCCGAAGCTTGAGAGGCAACTGCCGAATCCACGGGTGACCACTCACGCAAGTGCCACCTGAGGTCCGCGTGCCACCACCAGCAGATCAGCTCAAGCGAATGCCGATCGACTGCACAGAGGCAGTCGCCCACAGAGGCAACCGCCGCCGGAATGCAAAGCAGCCCCTGAAGAGAAGGCTCGATATCTTCCAGCACAGCAGTCGTGTCACGCTGAGGGCTATCGGACATGCGCAGCGACAAACCTAGCACACAAGGCAACCCCAAATCGTGACGTAGGTTATGTGAAGTGCAGCACGGCACTTAGCCTGGAAAAGAGCACTGGTTGACAAGCACCGTCAGTACGCCGAAGTGTCCTAGCACAAATGAGTGGTGGAGCAGTCCATGTTGCCATGCAAGTGCCCGCCACATGAACATCTGTTTGGGATGCATCTGGGCAGGCGCGCGAGCAACAAGAAAATTGTCATGACAGCTTCGGCAAATCACTCATGAGGCAGGACAATGAGTGCAGTGCAGGCTCAACTGAATGCATGTCACGGAAGAACACATTTTACAGAAGCGGAGGCCTGGAAGTTTAGTCGACCATCACCGTTCCAGGAAGACGATCGGCCACAAAAGAAAGCCTCCATAGCCACCGAAGGCGCCAGCCAAAGGCGAAGCCATTCAGCAGTCGGGTAGCCCAAAAGACCACTTCAGCCAGTCCTGGTAGAAGCAGCGCGGCGTTTCCTGGCAAAGCGTCGAGTGAAGGAGCCGCGGCACAGCAGGCGAAAGTTTGTCTCCATCTGGAACCATGTAGAGCGCTCCAAGCTGCACTCGTAGGTCGGCCGAACCCCGGCTTGCCGAAAGTGGAGCGTAACACCATCGACGATCCATCGCGGATAATTCTCGTTGTGCTCACAGGTCCTGGCAGATTCATTGAGCAGCTGCGACAGGGTGTCGTGGCCATTCCAACCAATGGTTGCAGTAGGTACCCCATCCAGAACAATGGAAGCCTCGCCGAAAAGATCACATGACCACGCACGATGGGAGCGCGCAGTCTGATTCCGCAGGCCGCGACCAAAAGCTTCAGCCTGCAGGATCTGAAAGGAAGGCGACTCCACAGCAACCTCCACCTGTTCATCAGCGGAAGAAACATCAGCAGTCGCACCAGAGTTGGAGCCGAAAACGGGCTGTTCTAAGGCTGAGAGCCGTTGCCACAAGTGCGCATCCGCAGAGTCATCCAAGTAGTCCAGCGCGGAGCCAGCCGCAGGAAACCGGTCAACCAGCCGGTGAGCATCACAATCGCTATCCGACGAAACGTGGCTTCGTGGTTCGCCTGCCAAAGTGTCCGCTGCAGTTGCAGGCTCGGACCTGGATGCCATGCAGCGGCCCGCCCCGGCTCAGCACTAGAACAACTACGAAGAAGGCCTCTAGAGGAGCCCGTACACCACTAGACGTGTCGTGGAGTGTCCTGCAGCCCTATCCGACAACTCACTCCGCTCGCAGCTTTCACCCGAACTTGCGCTCGAGGGCTACTCACCACTTCCTTCGCGGGAGTGCCAGCAATCAGGCTCGGAACTCACACTATGCTAGCGGATCTTACAAGGCCCCAAGGAGACAAAAAATTTGCACTCATGTGCTTGAAGGAGCGTGCGCGGGAGACATGTTAGCAACTGATCATCAAAGAATAAAGTTCATGAAAAACTCAATCGTTAAAAATCAGGTTCAAAAGAGTTTCCCAAAAACCGCCCGAAGTGTTCATGCACGATCGTTTCTCAACGAGACAACAATCGTTGTGAAATTGGAAATAAAGTGAAAATCACAAGTGATGTGGTCACAAATAAGAAAACATCCCCCTTCGGGAGAGTTTGTTCTTATTTGGTTATGTTTTCAAGCCAAGCGCACTACACAGCAGGAAGAACATGTACACTGACTGCACTCACAGACTGAATCATCGCACGCTGCATTTCTTTTTAGAGCGAGGGGTGCAGACTGATGGTTTTGGCTCCACATTCGTGGCCGATGTACAAAGATGGCAAAAGCTAAAGTTGTCCTGCACGAGGTTTCCGGCATACTCCTGCAAGTGAAAATTTCCAGCAAGCAAAAAGGCAACTGATGCCATTCCCCATTCAAGATCAGATGCCTTTAGAACAACAGCTCTTCGCCTGGGATCCAACGGACTCTGAAGTTGACAGGAAGCTCGCTAAGCACAAAGCGCGAAGGATCGTCGGCAGGGTTTGCAGACGACTCCACTCTTTCAAACCATATGCTGATTCCTTTCTCGTCCTCAAGCATGCTGAGCTTGTTGAGCTGCGATGCTACCACCGGAGATTCAGAAGCACATTTTATGAGGGCCGCAAGGGCGGCCTCATTATCGCAATAGCAAATGAGGTTGCAGTCATTCAAGGAATTGCAAAGCTGCATGACGCCTTGCACGGCTGCACAAGCTTCCAACTCATAGATCAGACCTTGTTTGCCCTCTTGGTTTATGGCCTCTAAAACGTCTGTGTCGGCAGACTCGGAGTACCACCTAAGGAGCAAACCCCCATCGCTGTAAAGGATGCCCCCTAGACCGGCCCGGATCCCTGCAAGTACGGGTAGCCTCCCAAATCGCACGCTGGTTCGCCGGGGCGGCGATTCTTACGTCCTCGACACTGAGAGAAGCCACCGTGGTTTTCTTAGGCAGGACAGACGAGGAAGGGATCTCGCCAAGCAGGTCGAAACCGTTCTGTATATCTCGTACCAAGTTAACATCCGCGTGTCCGGCAGCCTT